TTGCTTTCCTGGTCCTGGTACAGATATTGCAGCAATATTTCAGCCAAATTTTCTTTAGTTATCATTTCCTTATGAAAGTGAAAACATCAGTATTTCTTGAAATCTGGCATTCAGAACTGCTATTTAAAAAAAAAAAAAAAAAAACCCACCAAGAAACCCTTCCTTGGTTGTCTGAGCACATGAATCCAGTGGCCTGCAGCTTTCTCTCAGATCTCCTTTTTCTGGGGTAATTAAAAAAGTTTCCTGATAAACCAGTTTTGGAAACAATTCTGATCCCAGACATGGTTTTCTTTGGACATCTCTTGACTTCACCCACAAACCAGTGACAATCCAAGCAGGGCACTATTTAGGACAGCTAGACGGCAGGGGACTTCACCTTGAAGTAAATTCCGGTAATATAAACACTCGCTTGGACTTTTTGATTCATTGCAATGGCTCCTGCGTCTTACTGAGTCCCATTCATTGTTCACCCTCGACGGCAGCTTGGTCAAAACACAGCTTAGAAGTGGGACAGTTTATTAAAAAAAAAAAAAAGGAAAAAAAAAAGTAAAGTATTCCTCGTTACGTAAGTGGAAGGCAGAACATAACGCCATGCACAGTAAACGAGGTTGCCCATGACGTATAAAAACAAGATCACTGTAAAATAAAACTCCCGTATGAATGTTTCATCAACAGAGAAGCCAGGCACAGAGGAAAAACTACTACTTCCCTGAGATTAGTGGGCCAAATCACAATCACGCAACATAGACTTGTCACTGTTCAGACCAGAGCTTGGCTGACTATCAAGACAGTGGGCAGCGTCACTGGCCCCTCACCTTGAAACGTCTTGTACCTTTTCAATCTATATGCAAACTCCTTCTAAGCACTAAGATCCCAGGTGCTCTTACAGATGACTCCACACCTTTTTTAGTGCTGAGCACTCATATTTAATAAAAACTTCCGTTCCCCTTAGCCTTGGGCACAAGGCTTCTTAAGGCTTTGGTCAGAGTCGAATTAGAAATCTCATTTTAATTTCTATTCTCCAGCTGACGGCTCTTCACCAAGATCAGAGTATTTTCCCACACAGAGCCCAATCCTGTAATCCAAAATTAATGGGAGTTTTGCCTACGTAAAGATTGCACAATAACTTTGCTGGCAATTTGGTGATAAGATAGTGAAGTTACCAATGTAATATCTCACACCAGTCATCTCTATTTGCATTACCATTTTGTGTTACTTTTCTGTGTGGTGATAACTGGCTTTGGTAGAATGATTTCATTGAATCTGAAATGTTTTCCAAAAAAAACAACAATAATCAGAATTAACATCCCATGACAGAGAGAAACAAACCAAGGCAGAGATGTATGCCTTGTAAGTATGTGCTCACAACAAGGTTAAACACTAATACAATCAAAATTGGAGTTCTGAAAAATCTGTGCTCTGTCCATTGATCTACATATCATGCATGTCTTTGCTAGGGGAATAAGGAACACATTGGCTGTATGCACATAAATCACCAACACATGCTCTCACGTACACAATTCATTGCACCTGAGGACAAAATTTGATCCACATCCCATATAATTATCCACACAGTGCAGCACGATCCGTTTCTACCTAAAAGCTTTTGTTTAATACAGAGGACAAGCACCTTTCACCTTTCTTCTAGCATTGTTTCCAGGAAGTAAATCTTAACTTGAATGCAAGGTAAACACTCTTAAGTGTTAATAATCTTTAAAACAAGAAAAAAATATTTACCCATAACACTCTGCAGCTCACTTTATTCTAACAATAAAACATGACAATAATTTTCACTATACATAATTTACTGCCACTGTCAACAATTTAAATGGGTTCTGCCCTGAGACGTTGAGATATCTGTCAATTACTCTGATGTCAACTGTACATTCCTGAAAGTACATCGTGTTTTTTATACACAAAAGTGATAACAGAGCTTATATTTAGCTATAGATATCATTCCATGCTAAAACAAACTCTTGTATGCATAGCAGCAATTCCTTAAGCTAAGTTTACTTCTGATTCCAACAGCTATTAAACATGATCTGCAGTCCAAGTTCAACGGCAGACAGGTTAAGCATGATCGTTACGTATGTTTACGAAGTCATCGTATGGGGGTACTGAGTTTAATACAGAAGTATCATTCACTTCGAAAAAGCTCTTTGGATTAGATGTCACCTTAGGTTGTATTCTTCTCCAAATTCTCTGCATTTCTTTCATACTACAAGGCTAGGATCTCCATGACCATCACATACAGTTAATAGTAAGGGAAGGATGATCCCACTATTGACTGATAATATAATCCATTTCATGAACAGATCCCTTTGCTATTATAGGATAAAATCTGCATGATTAATTGCCATGTGCACACAACAGCCATGAGCATTCACCACTAGAACATTTATATTTTTAATTAATCAGCATGAATGTGCCTGCTTTACCCACACCTCCTTTACAGAGGCAATATTCAGAGGGAATAGCATGACCATAACACACAAAGATATTTGCGTTAAGGCAGCAGTCAACAGCACATTCGTTGGGGAACTAACTTTCTTGCATGAAAGAGTTGCTGCCTTCACGGGTAGTTTAACGCTGGCGTTTCCATTCTAGTCAGGTGCGGGGGTACGGGCGGACCGGACTATGCCAGCCAGGACACTTCAGTAGCAAAAAAAAAAAAAAAAAATTTGCTCCTGTCAGCTCACAGGAGCAGTAGATCACGCCGGTGGTCCCAACCCAGCCACTACTGAGAAAGCACCACACTTTACACTTGTTCCAGGCCTCTCCAGCATTCTGTCAAGGGTCTGAGGATTTGAAGTCTGAATTATTTCTTCTCCCTCTCTCCCAGACAGTCAGCTGCTCCCTCAATTTTTAGGGTGGCAATGTTCACAATTGCATGATCTGCTCTGCACTTTGAAAACCTCAGATCCTGAACGTTATCAGCAGCGATTCCTTACAAGAGGGCAAAAAAAAAATCAGCTTCTGACCCTTAAGTTATACAAATTAATCTTTTTGAAATGAAAAACTAGTACTGTTTTTTTCCTGGTGATATTCTCAAAAAATATATTTTTTAATTGTGTTCTTCAGAACACTTCATTTGTCAGGGCTGGCCCATGAAAACACAGTTCGTTATTGCATAATGAATTTATTAGTCTGTTAACCACAGCCCTCACAGAGATAATGGCCAATGATTGCTTATAAATCTTTTGCCACAACGTTTCTTCCACAGCTGGTAGTTTGCACTATGTTCTTAATAAAAATCATAGTACACCAACAGTATGATGAAGTAAAGATCATGCCTGCATCCATCTTAGTAGCCTAAATTAGCTTAACTGTGCAATACTGCACTTGAATGCTACCAGCGCTAGAGGCAAATACGGTAGTCACGTTCAGGTTTAATAAAAAGAAATTAGATTCAGTAATCTCTTATCAGCCCCCAAGGCACCCTGATACTTGCCCAGGTACTGCTCAAGTGAAGTTTCCTGGCAGTTTTACCAGAGCTCTGTGAGTCTTTGAAACGGATAAAAGGACGGTCACTGCGTCGGGAACACGCGCTCCCCACGTCCAGCAGCTTCACAGCTAACAGCCTGCTTTTCAGCTGCTGCGGAGATACTCCTCACTCAGTTTTACACGCGGCAATGATGACCCCTAACGGTGGAATATTTCTTCTACTGAGCAACACAGATTTCACTCTTTGCTTTCAGTATATATTTCTAGTTAAATAATTTACAACAAACCTGTCTCTAACCTGTCAGAGTAAACAGTTAGGGGTTTACTTTGAACTGTAACAGAGAAGCAATTTCTTTCCCCATTATTCCCTATTTCCCTTTCCTTATTATTTTCTTTCCTTATTTAATCCTGACTTTGTAATTGAAGGCATCAAAACAGTAATGCACGTTCCAGATTTAAGTCCAGGATTTAAAATCACTCCTTTCAGGGACAGACCATCTTAGGGAAGCAAATTCCAGCCACATTGGTGCAAAGAGTCCCTGCAGAAAGTCTAAAAAGTGGATGAGACGTTTTCCTCCAGACCCAGTCGAACAGAGGCTGGAAAGCACACAACACGCACACAGAAAGCTTCCTTGAAGTCTGACGGCTGTCATATCTGGTGCCAGTTGTAGCACCTTTCTTAGTCAGTGACCATTTCATCAAAGTCAAATAACCAACAAATCTAATTTTATTGGCAAAGTTATAAAATACTAAAATATTATTCTAGTACTAAATCAACTTTTTAAGTGTTCAGAGTATAGGAATCTCATAGAATTTTTACATTCTGAAGTGCTGAAGAGTTTTTAGTCCAAGTATGTCTCAAAACCTGTAACCCCTACTGAAATTTATTCCTATACTTGGGCTGGGAAAAAAAGGTAATTTTAAATTGTGTTACAGACACCAGATTCATGTAATGGTCTCACTTTCCTCTTGAAACAGATGAGTATCTGTTATTTGCTTCTTAGCTTACCTGACACTTGCATCTACAGCAAGAAAAGGAACAAGTTGACTGTATTATCTATGCCTGACCTAAATGTGTCAATTTTTTCCAAGTTGAAATAAACACAATGTTCTTTCTTTTAAAAGAACTGAGAGTCCTTGGCAGCTAACTGATTTGTTTTCTTTCCTTTAAAAATACTGCATCGCAGAAGTTGGGCTACATTTCATTCGAGTCTACAAAGCACCTACTCTTTACCTAAGTAAACAGAAAAACTACAGATATTTCCAGACTGCTCAGTAACAAGTACCTGTTTAAATCAAGTTCTCTTTTTGCATGTTAATAGTAGTTAAAGTCACACAGCTGAGTACCTATTTAAAAAAAAAAAAATATGAAGAGTACCTTTACTCAATTGACACTTCAGTTTGGATGGCAAGGTATGCAAAATTCCTTTTTTCTTTTTTCTTTTTTTTTAATTACAATCTAACTACTGACTTTTAAAATTGTCTTTAAGATCGATTTTTTTTTCTTTCTTACGAAGATTAACAATTACTGCAAATGCTCCTGCACTTTGGCTTACCTTTCTCACGTCTGAGCTCTTTGGTTCTGTTGTCCAAGTTATAATTCTAGATACAGCAAGTCTTGTCTCACTGGAGTTCACAAAGTCTGTTGGATCCATCTGTCTTGCCAGGGACTCAATATACTTCAGGATAGCAACTTTCACCTGAGAAGTGAGATTCGTCAGTCTGATGAACTGGCAAAAGACTGAATTATCCAATGATACACAGATATTGCTACAGATTCACAAGATCTATGCATTGAGGGGAAAAAAATATATCCTTGTGACATGTCTCCACGTCATGTCTCAAAGTCGGAAGGAATTTTCTACCCAGGATTGTATAGTAACAGCCTGGAATGGTCTATCAGAACTAGCTTGAAAAACATCTGTCTGCTTGTGTATTTGCATAAGCAAATCAGCACTCCACACCCTGCTTGCACCAGTATCGAATGTTCTAAAGTCTTTTGGTCTCTCTCTTATACCCAGGGTTATTTCAAATGTCAAACCTTAGTTTCTTGTCTCAAACTAAACGTTGTTGCTAGAGTCTCCAAAGATCTAAGATTTTGGAGACCAGAAAGAAAACGCTCTAGTTATTTGGCATCTTGTATACTCCTATATTCCTATCTCTGGAAGAGAAATATATGATCTCCAAAGTTTCCAGTGTTCCTAAAACCTTGAAACAGCAACCTCCTTAAGGAGAGGCTGCATGATTGCATCTCCTTGAAAGGATTCAATAACAGAACACTGATTTTTTTTTTTCCCCTTTGAAACCTAAATGTGCCAATCCTTTTTGCTATATCTGTACAATGAGCACTTGTGATGGTGTACTCAGGGTCTCAGCTCCCTACTTGTCCAGGGCAAGGGCTCTGGTCCCTTCTGCCCTGTATTGCCAAGTTTCCTCCCACCAAGACCAGAGTGCAGAAGAATTTTCCCTGTCTAAACTTCACTCCCATACTTTCCAATGTACCCAAAGCCCAGCTCTTACTTACTGACTTGTATCTTGAATCACAGGGCAATTTTTAAAAAGATATTTAAGTGTATTGAACTGGGGGGTGGGGGGGAAGAGGATTTCAAAACCACACTAATTGCTAACTCTTAAAAAAGAGGTAACCTAGGTATTAGTGGAAGTCATTTTGGGAGATGAGAATTGAGTTACTGTCATGTGCAGACTTTTGGAAATTATATTTCTTATGAAAATAAGTGAACCACAAAAATGAATCAAATCTGCTAATGTTCTTTCTATATTGCATCATACAGGTATTTACAATTAGTTATGTTTTCATGAGTTCTACACTTTAAAGTACACCTGCCATTGCAAATTAAGAGGACCGTGTTTATGCTTCACTGAAAAGGCTTTTGATACTGACCTTGAGGTTTGGTGTTTGGGTCTGATCTACAATAAACCTCATCAAAATGTTAAATTGTTGATCAAATGGAAAAGAATCCCTGTCCAAAGAAAACAAAAGTAAAAACGTAACGCAACACGAATTATCATGACTAAATTAACCTGAGGCATAAAAGTTCACATATGAGAGTTCAGCATCTACCGTGACCTTTTTTTTTTATTTCACTTTTATTCAACCATCAACCACACAGAATTCCACATCAAAGGATCAGCTGACTATTGAATTAACACCAGCAAAAACTGCTAAGTCAATACATCGACACTTCTCTTATTTTTGTCATACCGGTCCATGCTTTCTTCACTTCAGGCTGTTCTTTGTTCCCTTATTTATAGCAGCACACTGGTTTATCTTTTCCCCAGAGCTAAATTGTTTTGATTTCTCCTTTCCTCCTTTTGTATCTCGTTTTCTCTTGAATTTTTTTTCCCCCCTCCTGAAAGTCCTACAATTTTTTGGATCAGTTACCCTTTATCATAAAGATGTCCTATGCCGGACATTCTTAGGAAAGCACATGGACTACAGAATTGAACAGGTATGCAAGAACACAGCAGCATTCACGATCTTATCCTTTCACTACCAATATTTGCTGTTTGAACGCATGTAAGGCATTCTGCACTTTGTATCAAAGCACGAATCACACTCTGAACACTACAAATGATAATTTTTTATGAGTCAAAGACGACTGAAGCAGAAACACCTCTTTCCTACATGGATAACTTTAGAGGACGACATCTAAAACTTAAAACTGATTACTTTGTTAACTCAAGAGTTTTCAGAGTGCACACAATATTTAAAGCATTGAAATCTAAGTGCGATGTGATTTTGTTCTCTTTTATTACGGTACTCAGCAGGATCCATCTCTCAAAACGTATGGCCCTCCTGGGTTTCTAAGATGTTCCTTAGGTAGCTTCTTGTAATCCTGAGAAAACGTGCATAATTTTTGCCAACTGAGTACTCTACCTTGTGACATCCAGAGCTTTCTGAACTTTTGCCTGTACAGACCCCAGCAAATCTGCTCCCATTTTCTTTAGCAACTGTGTCAGGAGAACAAAAAGCCAGTCCTGCAAGTCATCTTTATGAATGATGATGAAATCAACCAGGGTTTCCAGAAACATGCTGAAGACCTATAAACGAAAAGTGTGTCACAAAAAGACAGACTAGGCTATAAATAGATTTCTAATCCCCTCCCCCCTTGATTTTTTGAGTTTCATGATGACTTTGTTATAGATAGTTTAATGAATGAATGAATGAATGAATGAATTTTAGTGACCACATTGCTCTGGAGAAAAAAAAAAGTCACAAACAATACACATCTAGCATGTGCCGTATTAAAATACCACATTAAACAAATGAAGGAAGAGGGGAAGAATGCACTTACTCTCTGTTGTGAATTCCACCGCAAAGCAGGCCATGCAACAAAACAAACCACTCGTTAGCACACAGTGATCAAGCCCGACTGTTCAGATGCAGTTTGTCAACAGATAAAAGGTGCATTCAGGGAAAGTTGACATTTTCTTAAAACCAAATCTCTTCTTCTTAGACTTATTTGAAACATTATATACATTGAATCAGATCCAGTATCCTCACTCATGAGAGCAATGTCTTTAAAGTCAACAAGTCAGGAGAGCTGGACTGCTTTCTGCAGTTGCATGCAATCTTTATCGTGTTTTTTCCCTGTCTCACTTCCCAATTTATTCCAACTTCTGAGACCCCAGTTCCACCTCATCCCAAACACTAGTGTTCAGCAAGGACAGAAGGCAGAAATGAACCGTACTTTTACGAAAGACTAAATTCTGACTGCAGCTATGCTGCAGCAATTTAGTGATTGAGAGTTAGAGTTGTCTTACAACACAACTACTGCAGTTGTAATGATAATTCCATAAAAACAATGAAGATTACAGATCAGCACTGGCACAGAGAATATACTTGCCGCGACACAGACTGAACTTTGAGAATGAAAACGTTAAGATTTTACAGATATGAACTGCCACATTACAACACACCTGTGGTCTAGCTGGTCCAGACTAACTACGGCCAAAAATGCACACTTTGAGGTAGGTCTGCGACAGGCAGCTATAAAATAACCTGTCTACCCAGGGAATTTGCACCTGACAATCATTTGTTAGAACTAGTTTACCAAGTGGCCTGAGGCACAAATATTTGTACAACTCCTCCGTTTTAATATTGTATTTAACACAACAACAGATGTTTTCATCTAGTCATTACTGGTTCCCATCAGGGGGATCCAGCAAGCTTCCATGGGAAGGAATACAAAACTCTTTTCCCACATCTTCCTGATCCTCATTACCTGCCAACAGGAGAAGAATGCTGGGCATGAAAGTACCTATGGGTCCGACCTCCCCATTCCCCAACCCTCCATTCCTCCCTGCTTATTTTTAGAAGACACATGTAAATTCATGTAATGGCCTTCAACTTCAAAGGACAGTGTTTTAAAGAAGGCAAAGCAGTTATATTACTGACATTGTTTCAATGTTTTTGAAAAGATCCAGAATAACACATTGGTGAGATTCCATAATTCTCCCTGGTGTATCTCAACGCCAGTGACCATGATGCTGAACTATGACTCATTACCCTTCACGAACCTCACTGTTGTGCATGACTGAGAAACAACCTAGAGAAGTACAGATAAAACTGAATGCCTTGCTCCGGTAGCTAACTTCTCAAAGGCAGCAAGTTCTTTGGGAAGCACAGAGCAATCAAGCCTGAGCAATAAGAGAGGGGTTGATGCCCTGTAAGATATATCCTTTCAACATAAAACAGATAGTCATGAGATTTATAAATACCAGTTTCTCCCAGCAGATGGCAGGGGTAGAAATACAAATCATTCATTTTGGAACGAGGGCAAACGTGCACATAAGGTACCGTAAGGGAACGAGCCAAGCCTTTGTGATCTTACCTTGCTGTGAGGGTCAGCAAACATGCGAGTAAATATTTCGCACAGCCTTTTTAACTCGACTCGGCTAAAATACATAATAAAACATGATATTAATGCTAAAACTCTAGTTGCAGCAAAAAAGCTAAAAAAAATAAAAAGAAAGAACAACAGCTGAAAAAGATTTAATCTTCTCAATTTAAATATTCAGTCACACACAAATAGACAAAGCTGTATTTGGCATTCCAGCTCAGCTGCTGGAAACACCAAACTTAGGTTAAGAAATTTAACAATCATGATTTAAAAACAAAATCAGGCGTCTCCAAACTATCAGCAACTCCAGTGAGATCAGTATTAACAGATACTAGAACTGACTTCAAAGGGAAAGAAAAGATACAATGAGAAGATACATATATAGAAATGGATGATAGAGTAGGCAACCTAGTAAGTCAGAAGAGAATTAAATCAAGGTATAAATGCAAGTTCCCATTAGTAGGAGATTATTAGGCACTTAATAATGCCCTTTTTAGGCAAGACGGCAATGGAACCTTTTCATAAGATATTGAACTTGAATCAAACACAAAACTGTTTGGTGTCAAAGCTCTTATTTTCAGTGTATTGAAAAATACAAGGCCAAATGTTACAATATTAGTTTTCCTGCAAGGCAAACTTGTCAAAGGCAGCAGAAATTTCACCTGCTTATTACAGTCCCAATGAAAACAGAGCAAGATGACTGGGTAACATCTCCTACATACTATGGATGGCGTTAGGTATTTTTCCCCAATTACTCTTAAACCGGAGCTACTAACAAAAGGCACATTGACTGCTCAGAGAACAGCCATTCAGATCTTATTACGGGCACCCTTTTACCAGATAGACCTTAATTCCAAAACCTACCACCATATATATAACATTAAAATAAGCTTCAAGGAACAGACCAGAATGTGTCAGTAGTTTAGCTATTTCATGTTGTTAGTTTGTTTATTAAGTAACAGTGGACTTTTTTTTTTTTCCAAATATATTCATTCATGAAAGGCTGATCAAATTTTTAAAGGGCACAAAGATAATGCTCTCCCTAAGAGTTGAACACAGAGAAATAAGGTCTTTATAACAATGCCAAAGCAAGCTAGCAGCTTTATTCCGGATGGAGACTGCACCTTCTCAAAATGACTGTTCTACAACGCTCTCCTGACCCAATGCAATTGCTCCTTCTTATTACTCTAATGAAATTTCTCTCTGGACAAGGGTTATATGAAGACAACAAGTATAAGTGTCTTTTTTAAAAGACCTGCTGACCCAGGGTAACAAGGCACATGCCAAACTTAAACGGGCACTAAAAAAAGTTTCTTTAATGGACTTGTTTTATTGAGAAGAGACCTTACTGGGGAGCCCCTATAGAGCTAGGCCACATGAAGATGTAAGAAGCAGTGAGGATAGGTACGTATTGTACTTTGGATGCTAACATCCTAGCTAATACAGGATCAGGCCTCTTCTAGGTTCAGAGAACTTAAAAAACAAAAAAAAGAAAACACCAAAAAAAACCACCCTAGTCACATTGCCACCTGCTATTCTACTTGTTATACCACAACAGAAGATACCGGGTTTAGTTAGAAGAAAAAAGACTCTCCCCCTGGACTAATAACCTTGGTGATGTTCTACATGATGCCGTGGGAACCACACAGGATGATAAAAATCTAATCACTAGAACAGGCACCTGATCAACCCTGAACAAAGGTGGAAGCATATAAGCAAACCAAAAGGAAATATAATCCAGAGAACTAAAAACAGTACCAAATTAGAAAAACAACTCTGCAGGGATTTAAGACTGTGTAGATTCTGGGACAGGTTTACAAGCTATCTAGAATCAAAGCCAAAAAAACTTGCTAGCTTGAGGAGCTAGTAGCAGCTGTACAGTTCAAATACTGCAACCAGCAGGACTGAAAACAGCAGCTTTATTCTACTGGCAATTCTGCTAAGAGCTACTGATCTGGGTAAGCAGCCCGTCATCTGATCTTCTCAGCACTTCCTCCCTTGGAACTATCACCAATATCCTTTGAAAATTTGGTTGCTATAATCCTCATATACCTTTGTGGCAAGGCAAAACCAAAGTTTCTCCCAACGTGTCTGTATAAGAGAGTTGGTTAAAAAACATGAATATATTCATGTGGAAAGTCTCTTTCAAATACTCCTAAACAGACCACATCAAAAGGCACCTCTGTGATCTAGGGACAGACCACCATATTTGAAACTAACTACCATATTTGAAACTTGTAGCACTTCCCTCTTAAGGGCTGCATCACATCATGGGAAGTGCTAGAAAGTATTTTTATGATGGAAAGAAAATAATCTTTCCAGATCTGATCTCAGTCCATTTTCATTCTGCCTGTTAAGAAGCATCAAAAGTTTCCAGCAAATCAGAAGACCTTTTAAAATGAAAAAAATTACACAAATCCAAGTAGCTAGACTGCCAACCATACAACAACCGCTTATAAACTTAGCCACAATTTAAGTTCATAATATTCATAACAGAAAAATGAAATGCTGCAGCTATTTCTGAACGTTACCTTCAAAGGAGCTAGAAGATAAACTGTTTGCTTCCAAATACTTTCACCATAAATCAAGGGTGAAAAGCCTACAGCCTGATAGCCAGATGACTTTGGTAACCATGACCTGTGGCCATATGAAATTCCCACATAACTGCTGGGTAATTCTAAGATCTGTTTTAACGTGTCACATGCCAAAGGTGTTTGAAAGGCTTATTTTGCTTTCAACAAAGGGAAAAAAGTCTGTCTCTCTTACCATAAAGTTTCAGAGTTGGTACACCTACTTCATTGCCTTAAGAAACTTCCTTATCCATTATAAACTACATTTTTGCAAGACTCAAATTTATCCTGTAGGATTTTTAAAAAGTTACAAATAACCATACCTGATGCATTCACAAAGAGCCACAAGTAATTAAACCTAGCATTGCCTTCATAAAGGATCAAAGTACACCCAGCATTACACACAGAGAACATCATTTGATCTCATCTCTGAAAGACACACACCCTGAGTAGTTTTAGAATAAATGCAGTGAGTGTTTGCTTCACCAAACATATTTCTGGGAAAAAATAATTTTACTGAAGGCTGAAAGATAGGCTATATGTAAAAATGGTACCACCCTTTGAGTACATTTACATTACCATCATTGTAGGAAATCTCACCGTGCTGCCACAAGCACCTACCATGAGAGGACTTGAGGAGACAGAGGAAGGCTCAGAGAAGTCAGCGTTCTTAACTGGGCTCTGTCTACATCACTACTACAAATTTAACAAAGAGATACTGCTGCCATAGCAGAAATTTCTCTGATAATAATGAAATAAAACCCCACATTGTGGAGACAGAGCCTTCAAGGCTGTGAAAGGTACCATTTGTCTGCGTAAGGCAAGTAAAAATTAGCGACTAAAGTCAGAAGTCTACCCCCATGAATGACCAAAACTACAAAGCTATGAAGGTCACCTCAGTGTCCGCTGGCTTTTCAGTAAGTTCTGAAGACCTATGAGCCCTTCTTTTCTTTCAGACCAGTTGGAGCTGGCACAGTGGTTCAAGACCTCGGCTACATCTTCAGTCTGTCGCAGGTAGTGTGGAATGCCCCCGTTCCTGGAGCCATAAGAGCGCTCAGAGCAAGCGCTTGATGCATCACTATTAGCATCATCATCGGAGTACATCCCATAGGGTTCATATCTTCTTCTCACAGGCTTTTTCTGAAAGAAGGGAAACCCAGACTTGGTTAAATATAGTTACGTTAATGCCAAAAGAGAAACGCCCTCTCTGTAATCACTAACAAAGCAAGACTAATGCTACTGTTACAATGACTTAAGTGTGTTAAGGACATCACCAAGCACTGCCTGCTTACCTTACTCACTAGGGCAAGACAGATCCCATTGATTTCAATGAAAATACTTGACTAAGGGGGGTGCCCCTGGCACGTAAGCAAGACACTTAGGCTCAATGGAATGAGCTACAGGCAATGAAACCGCATGTTGTTTTATTGTAAAAATGGGTAATTCCTTGGGTAAAGGCTCTGTGACAATACAATTTACCTTTATTTTGTCTTGAAATAGAAGGAAGAAAGAGCTGAAGAACTTTCCATGCTAGCATGCACAGTTACTTGGTTATTGCTTATGAAGCAACTAGATTTCAACTGGGATATGAGAGAACAATTTTTTAGTTTGGCCTGGGATTTTACCAGAGGCTAAGGGAACTGAGTACTCAATCTCACTTTTTTACGTAGCATGGTATTAGATGACCTAATTCCCTTAGGTACTGCTTTGACAATGCTGACCCTAACAGAATTGATATTAGAATAATAATGATGATACTAAGCCAAACTGTATACTACAAAATAAACTCTTAAGTGACCCTTAACAGAATAGAATTGATCACACAATGTATCAGAAAAAATTGCCTATATTCTAAAGTGCTTGCTACAGTATTCCTTCCTCAGTGTCCAGTCCTGCAGTTCTTGGACTTGTGAAGTCAGCAGAGCTTTGCTTCCACTAGGACTGCAGGATTGAAGCATAGAAATTAACTCAAATGCAGTATCATGGGGGATAGCAACAGGGCAGGGCAAGTTGGAAAGTAGAAATAAAAAGTTAAGAAAGCACTAGTACCTTGCTCCTGGAGTCTCCTAACAGCTGTAGGCAGGAAAATATTGAAGGGTGGGAAAAAGCATAGAGAATTATGTCAGAAGCTTATGTAGGGTTTGTTTTTGCAACAAAAACGTATAGCAAATGCGTCTTAGCAAACTCAAAAAACAACAAAAAAAACACAGTTTATGCAAAATAAAAGTGGGTATAACAACGTCTGGCTTTACTTTCTAACTGCTGCACTGCTTGTATACCCTAGCCTAAGCACACTTTCTATTAGAGAGACTGGAAGTGAGATTATCTGTTAGTAAGTTTCCAATGACAGATCTAGATACATCACCTCTCTGCTTTACTTCTGAAAAAAATTGCTCTGGAAGATACAAATTCTTGGTAGTCATTTCCTTCCCCCTCCACCCCTCAACACACACACGTTATCAGTGACATTTGATTTTAGAGTCTTGGAAAGAAGCTCTGATGTCAGGAAATTGCTATCTACAGCACAGCACATTTAACCAACTTCATTTAACCAAGTTCTCTTTCAACCTACAGTTCTTACACCAAACTGCTTTTTGAAGCTTAACTTCAAGGTCACCTGGGTGGTACCTTGAATTAAAGCCCTTAATACCAAAGTTTCCAATACCCTTTAAACTCTTCCGACAGATATGAGCACCAGTTCCCAGCACAGGCAGCATGTTTTCAGGCCAAATCCAGCCCTCAGACAGTCGTGGCTCCAGTGGGAATTGTACACACAGAGCAGAGGTCACAAAATGACACACACTGGGTTTTGTTTAAACTTGAGTATTTGGCTGAAGCCATCTTTGGAGAAGTTCTTTTCATTTTGTACTATGCGGCAAAGAATACCCGTCCGAATACAAGGCTGCTGGATAAAAGCCGGCATCACACTGCCCTCACGAAGGGAGCCTGAACTGAGTCTATAAATTGCTGCTGTGAGAAAACAACTAAGAAAAAAAGAGCAAAATAGTCTCCTTTTTTCCCACTGCCCTACAAGATAAAAGTTGTCTCCCAATACAGCCTTAGAAATCCAGATTGATCAAACTAGGCAGCAGCACTACCATTTAACTTTTCAGGGCATTTGGTTAAAAAGAGTGGGACGTTTAAAGGGAACCGTCGACGTCTAGTTGAAGACCAAGTCACAGTCAAACAGATCTCAATGGTCAGCAGTGAACTGAGACGCTCTCCTTCCTCAATAACCAGTATTCAGCAACAGCTCACCTTCAGGGATACAACCCAATTTCATTTACATTTGCAGACCATCACCTAGGGTAACACCATTAACTGCTTTAGTGGCAAATTGTAGCAGCTGAAAGCAGGAACTGACCCACAGGCCATTGGATTTGGTTAATGAAAACTTATTTAGGCCAACAAATTCAACACCACCAGTTATCTTCTACTGCCCTGTTTCTCTATTATTCACAGCTACTTTTATGTTTCTATGGAAAGGTAAATAAAAAAAAAGAACTTATCTAGGAGTACTTTAATAATACTCTAGATATGGAGGCATGAGCTGGAGATAACCAAATACACAGGAAAATGGTAGTAGCCATCCTGAGTGAAAATGAACTGGGAAATGGAGGAAAAAGTCCATTACAATCTCTCTGGGGACACAGTTCATTCTTAATAAAGAAAAATCTGAGGTCTCTGCCTCAGATCTAGCAGGAAATTCCCTCCTTGTTCCAACAGCTCAGGGCTGGAGCTGGAGAAACAGTGTGTAGTGTGTAGAACAGTTGCTCTTGCCTCTACACCCTCCGCCCCCAAATCCCAAGGTAAATGCAAAGACCTGTGCTAATACTTTTCTTCCAAAGAGTGGAAGATACTTTCTGGATTCTACCCATGAAGTTTTATAGTACAGTAAGGTTATGTACAATATTATGTACAATAAAATTGAAAAATGACAATGAGTTTACTTAGAAATGCACCTAATGTTTCAAAAATACTAGCAGCACATTAAACAATGCATTTCAGTCTAACTGCATGAGATAGTACCAACTAGAGGCAAGCCACGCTAAGAGCTCATCTGAATATCCAGCCAGGTATAAACAACACAGGAAGGAAATTGAGGAAATCCTCAGTTCTTCTGAAAACCTGATCAGGAATCAACACGAACAGAGAACAGAGGATGTTTTTTCCGACAAAATCCTCACGCAGCTAATGGAACTGATGGAGGTCCCTGACCCTGCCGGTGCTGAGCAGCCTCACGCTGCCACGTGCAGCCTCAAACAGCTCAGTGAAAGGCAAACAGCTGATTCAGCCCATCCCGCTGATGGTCTAGCGCCGAGGCACGTCGGTCTGTTTGATAACAACTGTGGAGAACTTGCCCGGAATAAGGAAACAAACGTCACTGCCAATATTCCCAAACACAAAGCAACAAACGTTTACTAAACTAACTATGCAGCGTCAGACACTGGCACAACTGGAACAAAACTATTTAGAAAGAGGAGAACGTACGTACAGGTAACTTTAAGCCACTTTCGGGTGTCGGAAGCATTTTGTATTTTTCCCCTCTTACCAGTGCATCGGCCACGGCAGCCTCCAGATCTGTGCTTGTGCTCAGGACTCGCATGGCATTCACGGAAGCAGGCATCCTGCCTGGCTGTCCGAGCCCAAACCGGTCTGCACAAAAGACAACATTGAAAGGGATTGTTAAGCAAACGTACATTCCCCTGGAATCCTAATCAGGGGTCTCAGCCGGACTCCCCAAAGCTTCTGGGAACTCTCAGCCCTTTTTCATTACAGCCTCTTTTATCCACAGCTCTAGAGAGGTTGCCATTAGAGTAAGAAATAAGCTCTTGTTGGTTGTCGGGCCCCAGAGACAGTTTTGGATCCTCAGGGCATGTCTTTTTTTTTTTTTTTTAAAGCTGGGAAGAAGGGTATCTATTTAGTGTTTCTCTTTTTAAATAGAAGCTATTTCAAAGTTCTGTTCTGATGCCAGAGGCAGACACGCAGGCCCCAACCTGGCGCTCTCAGAAATCAACAGTAAAATTCACATCAACTTCAGAGAGACAGAATTGTGCCCACAGTGTCAGAACATGCTCATACCCGAGCACTGACCCATCCTGCAGCTTCTTCTCAAAGATGTGAGATTAGAAGCAAGAGATTAGCCTATTTCATGTTTCAAGGCTTGACTAACCAGTAGAGCATCATCCTACGCCCCAAAGAATAAAAATAAGAAGGTTTATTACTTGCGTGCGAAGTGGTTCCAATTTTTGTCTTATTATAGTTCTTTAGAAGCAGTTTAAATGTACACTGGACTGAAACACAGCTTACAAGCTATATGATAAATCAAAACTGGTATTTTTTGATCAAGCAGTATCATTACTCCACCCTCAAATTTGATGGCAAAGCTCTCAGTGATATCAAAATAGCAAGGTTGGGTCCAAAATGCCGTTTACATTCCCAATATTAATCAACTTGCTTTATGATTTGCCCCAAGTCTACCAGAGAGACTTAACTGAAAACAGTTTCCTTGGGCAAAAGCCAAATTCATAAAGTCAGCACTAGCAGGGAGCTAGACTAGTCAGCACTAGCAGGGAGCCGAGTATCATGGGCCGAGCTCTGGCAGCAGTTTATCTAGACGAGGAGCAGATCAGATGTAGTGCACTGGGATCTTGGCTCCAGTCTCGAACCAGCAAGAGACTTGGTTTGGCCTTCCAAACTATTCTGAGGCCCAGAGATCATTAGTTTTTGTTTCCACGTGAGCTCATCTTTGCTCAGGAGAGCCTAGGAACCCGCCACCATCTCCCCACACCTGCACCCATGGGTGCACTAGGAGTTTTGCCAGCAACTTCAGGGGTGCCAAGGATCAAGCTGCATAAACCCATTTAAGAGACCTTCAGCTCGTCTGCACTGGATGCAGTGATCAAGCAGCAAGAGAGAGGGATTAAGTCACCCAGGTCTTGTCTTAGTTCTTCTGTATTTAACATGATGAAGGGAAAACACTGTTTTTTAAAACATGTACCCGCATCATGAATTTCCACAAAACTGAGCTCAAATATTATATTCAGCAGGTTAATGTATGCATTTTTAGAAGGAAAGCTATACTTACAATAAAATTTCTTTGCTTTTTTTTAAACCTGCACTGAAATCCCTCATAAGCATTTAGCTTATTGACGTGCATAATTTAAATGAGAGATTTGCCCATCTACCGTCCTATTTCAAAGCATTACCTGAGTATGATTTCAGAGCACTACCCGAGTCAGAGCAAGGATTAAGCTACTGAGGGGAAAATAGGGAATTTTTTTTTAAAAAAGACTAACGTATTTTATTAAGAGGAAAAACTGAAGGCTAGCATTTATGTCAGAAAGAAGTATGATTTATCAAAACTTACTATTCCTGAGAGATATGTAACCAGACCAGACATTTCCGATTTACAACAAAAGCACATTTTCTACAAAACACATTACAAGGGAGGGGGAGGAGAAAAAAAACAACAAAAAAGAAAACAAAAACCCCCCACAACTTCTTAGAACTACTGCTGAAAAGTAATCAAATCATGACAGTTCACAAAGAAATAAAAAGTTGTATGTGTTATTACTATCCCCTTTTCTAATGCACTCAGTTGGAGAATCATTATAAACATTTAGTTGAAACAGTACTTCATCCCTAAAATGGAAAGCTCTGTACTCTTAATAAAAGCACGGAGGAGGTGATATTGCATTAGGTTGGATTGAAACTAAAGACACTACTTATGGAGATACATGCTACAAAGTCGTACACAAGACGAGTGTTTTTTCCTAAGTGCAAATAATAACTGGTACAATACAAGCGTAAGTGTTGAGACAAGTTCAGATTTATATTTAAACCTAGCTAACTTAATGACATTATTCAAGTGTTACGGGAATCAGAATTTGGCTTTTTAACTTTGAAATGACACAGCGTCATAAAATACTGCACACTGTCATCTGTTTTGATGTTAATTTAGTATTACATTAGAAAAGGGGAGATAGTGTCTTTTTTGTTTTAATGAACAACAGAATGACAAAGTAATTCAGTTGTAGATCAGTTTAAATACCTGGTATAAAGAAATAAAATGGAGCTTTTTAAAAACAAATTTAGGTAAGTACAATGTGGCATGCTGGCTTATATCTGTCTCCATAGCTATCATAGGAATCTTTTCAAATACTTTTTGCAGTGATCTTTAAAGCTGTAACAAAAGTCACTCTGGGCTTCTTCCTCAGACACTGTTCTTGTACCCAAGTGCAGCAATTGGATAGGCATGCATCTTAAAAGATGCCCAGGCACATCTCTAATTTGGTGCTGGGAACACATTTGGCTCCAGGAATGTCTACTCTAAGCAAGCCCAACACTACTGGCAAGAAATAAGGAGAGCACAGTGTGCTCTGGCCAAGTTTCCTTATCTCCCTGACTGGAGTCATTATGCTTGTTACATACTTGGTGAATAACCCCAACTAAAATTTTCAGTTTGATTTCGCCATTTTTAGTGAAATTTTGGCCTTCCTTCCGACAAAGATGACCGCAGGTGATATAATTAGGCTTTACACTAAATCACTGGAGCCAAGCACTCAATAAGTTTCATAGGAAGCTGAAGGGAAACACGATTACAATTTGTGTAACAAAATGTATTACCTTTTTTTTTTTTTTAATCTTTTAAAACTTTAAATACATGCTTCAAATTCAAATCGTTGCTTTTAAAAAGCCAAAGACAGTCAAATCATGTGTGTCATTTCTGCAGAGCTGCTTCATAAGGAAAATGTTTTGAGCATTTTAGTTAAGTCTAGTTAAATGGCTGTCTCTTAAGAGAAACAGAACACTTTTCACTGCCTACCTGAAGGGGAAATAATTAAATAACTTTCAGTATCACTTGTTCCTTATGCGATTTTAGCCTCTGAGCAAATGCTGGAGCCCTCTACATCATCTTTGCCCCCCTTCCAAGTTAAACTTCTATGACCCAAAGCCTAGAAGTCCTCATTTATTTCTTAAGACTCCCAGTGTAATATCCTAATTTCAAAGGGAGTTACAGGTACTCAGCAACTGAGAAATCCAACACAGGGCTGGGGAAGCAGGCTACTAGCATGTGCAGATTTCTCTCATTACATCTAAGCATTAATCTCCTGGTTTAAAGCCCAGTGAAATTAAGGGAATCATTTTTCCAACAACGTCCAGGCGCTTTAGACAAGGCCTTCAGAACTATACAAAGGATATCTCAGCAAGTGTTATGCCCTAAAGTTCATTTTGAAAGCTCATTAGGTGTTTAATTCTTGCTGCTCTCGTGTATTTTGGACAGGATCCTGCAAAGCACTTCCATTAACAGAGGCAGGAGTCCAAGATACTTGGCAACAAGTGGGATCAGACCCACTGGGACCCACGCAGTCCTAGGCGCTGGGAACTGCTACACTGCTAAAGAGGAAATCCCAACAGAAGGTGCAAGTACCCTGCATCATTCATGCTGCACAACCGACCCAAACTGCAGGAGAACTGAGAAAGCCCTGGACCACCCTTTGTTCAAAACACTGCTCACAATGTTCCTAAAGTACTTAAAATTAAAAACATTCAATACATGAAATTCAAAACAAAAAGCCATGTTGAACAAACACAACAAGAAGCCCCACAGCGGTGAGAAGCACATGCTTAAGTGCTGGCTGATGCACATGATGGCAAATGTTAAAATGGTGTAAAACAAGACTACGTAAAAGCAGCAGATTCATGCAGTTAGCGCTTGTTCACCTGACTGCCCAACAGAATCAGCAGTGGAGAGAGCACTAGTGGACCTGGAATGACGTCGAGAAGCTGCAAGTAAAGGAATGGCAACACCCACAGGATTAACATACGTTTAACCCAAGACAGAAAGTGCCACAATCCAAAGGGGATGCACATGACCACTATCAGTATACGTGTTTTATAGTGACAGGGAAATGATGCTGTATATGAACGCATAACAGATACGGTGCAAACCCCACAGTGACACCCCCATCCGTAGCTTTCCCCCCTCCCCCACAACCGTAAACATGATGCATGGCAAAATTCATTTGTAACTGTCCCAAACTCAGTGCAGTTCAGAGGAGAAGGGGAAAAAAAAAAAAAAAGAAAAAAAAAATCAGTGCCCATCAGTCACATTCCAGAAATCACAGATCTGGAAGACGACCATCATGAGAACATGGAGCACATAACTACAGAGCAGGATTTAGATGTGTCCGATCTAAACCCCCAAGTGAAGCCAAGATGAATGGTCAGAAATTGTGCTTGCAAGTTTTTTTCCACACCTTTCTATGCAAAAAAAAAAAAAAAACACAACGTTAACAAAGAGAATGAGTTACCAAAAGTGCAAGGAGTCATACAGGGAGGCCAGCCAACCACTGCATACAGATATTTTGAAGTTTTTCTTTTTAAATACACATAGACATATATTGTAGCTGTTGCTACCAAAAGTCTCTTGCTTTAACATATAGTTTCTTGAATCTAAATATATACGTATGTATGCACACAGACATTAAGCTGAATATGCACATACATACATGTATCTAGAATTATGCCATATGCACACAAACACAAATCATCAATAGTAACAGTGCGCACACACAGTAGCAGAAAAGCTGCAGCCAAATTTAGTTCCCACTTCAATTCCCAATTGTCAGCAGCACATAAATTGCAAAATGCCTTTGGAGAGAAAGTTTTTAATTCTTGGATCCAGCATAAAGGTGAGATGTCTATGAAAGCAAATGGAAAGCTGGTCTGGTCATTTCAGAACTCCAGAAATTTAGTTTTCTCTCTAAAGAGGTTCTTCCTGCAATAACATGCTCACTTAACTCATAGCAACTGAACCAAGAAACTCTCACTGCTCATGTGAGCAATTCATCATCACAGATTCACTGAAGGCCTTGTTGCTTTACCATCTTTACTAGTACTGTCAGGAAAATGAAAAATAAACCCAAATCATCTTCTAATGAAAGTAAGCGTTGTCAATTAGGCATATACGTGTGCAAAATTTGAAGTCTTCTGTTTTACACAAAACATTCAGGAACATAAACATTAACATTCTAAAATAGAAATCAGCAAAACAAGAAAAATGAACACTAAATTTTCTCCCTATAGTGAGAGCTTGGCTGTAAGTCATACAACAGAGTATACAATGTGGTCTTTAAATATGGAGAACACATGCATTTAGTCAAGAGAACAATCCCACTGACACCATGAGTAACTCATGAAAGATTTGCAGAATCAATAGAAGATTACAGACTGAACCTCACAACTAAGAGATTCTGATATGCAATTGCCTTCTCCCAAGCCGTCCGCTGTGCCCCTGTGGATGTCACTGCAAGATCAAGGCCCAAGAAGAAAGAGTAATTAAAAAAATAAAAGTTTAAAAAAAAAATCACATCTCTGCAAGGAGGCTGAGCGTAAAGAGCGACTCTCCACTGGTGCTTCCTAACTTAGGAAGCAAGTCGGTGTGCAGACACGCACATCGCACAGTCTCACTGACAGCCTTGAAACTAAGCAGAGCAAATTGCAAGGTCAGGATGTCAGCGTTGACACTAACTATAACGCTGTTAAATGCGAGAATCGTCGTTTACATGTAACTAACTTAAATATAGTTCACTAATATACAAGTTAGTCTATTTTTGCTCATAAAGGCTATGTACAGTAAGATTATCTTCTATAAACACACTTCATATTATCTTAGCATTAATATAAGATTATTAAATATTGTAACATATAATATAATATAGTATTACACGTAAGATTTAAAAAGATTCTAAAAATACTCTAACAGCCATACTATTTTTGGCTTCAATTACCATAGATGTATTTCTTTCAGATGAACTACAGACTACAGAATTATTTAGAAGTTCATGGACATGTTTCACTTTACAGCGTTTCAATGAAAATACAGAAAACAGACAAGACAATCACAACTATACTTGTATACTGCTAATTTTTCCCCACTCTACGTCCTCACTTCCCCTGAATGACTTTTATAAGAATGAATTCAGAGATGAAATAATCTTCAGGTTATTAAATAACATTAGTTAAATTGCTATTCCCTTCTCCCTCCAAAATGAAATTTTTAACAATCACTGTAAAAGATATTTGTAATTAAAGTTTCATATTCGGCATAAAACTCAGATTTAATGGTGGTGCACCAAATTCACACTGACTGTGAATCTAGCAGACTGTATTTATCCTTCAGAACAAGGGCTCATAAAACAAAAAGAAACAGTACAACGACATAGGACATTGAGCGGTTTCCCCCGAAACCCAGCATGCTTAAACACTTGGTTAGAGAAAACAGTCTCATCCTATATTGAAGCTAGACAGGTAACTATGAAAAACCAACTATGATTACACATTTGAAGGCTCTGGCATCAAGTCAGCTCATTTAATAAAGATGTTACCTTTCTTCCTTTCTCAAAGGGCAAGACGACAAGTTCTAAACACTCCCCATTTCTCACCAAAAATTGAGATTTAACAGATAAAGCAAACAGATTATTTTGCAGCTCTGTGCAACACTAATGAAGTTTAATCCTAAAGCCTTTCGAATATTAACTTGAAGATTCCCCTCCGCTCCATTGAAATCAATGGGAATTTTGTCTTTGTTTCCATTTGGAATCACTGGCAAGGAGAGTCTCTCCAGTGACAACACCCGAAGTTGAGATGAATAACCAAATTAATAATGACATCAGCTGTATTAGTTTAAAAGGTTATTCAATGTACAATATATCAACTATGAAAACCAAATGGGAAAATTTAGCCTCTGTTCATATCTTTTCATAACCTTTCCTCTCTTTTCTATTAAAGTCACAAAATTAAGCCCAAAAGGCTATGTTCCGTGTGCACACTTCTTGGTACAGCTGCATTTTGTCACTGCATGACAAACACGAGCCTTCAAAAACATTCTTCAGCCTTGATGAAATCTGCAGGAGCTTCTCTCTCACTTTGAACCCCATGCACAGCTATGAAATTATAATGTAAACAGAGAGGCCCTAGAAATCAACTGCATTTCATTATGTCTAAGATGACAAACAAACCTTTCATACAACAAGTAATGTATTTGGTTGAAAAAAATATATATATATGATATGATATTTGATCAGAAACATTAACTATCTTGTTTTCAGCCCTGCGCAGATCAAACTTCTGCATGTGGTACCCGCAATGAGATTTTCTATTTGTACTGTACACTTAAGCTGCATGATGATGCTACTTTAAAACCCCAGTCTTTCTTGAACAGGCATTCCCACAAAGTGGTTGTTAATTGATGACTCTAAAGGAAAAAAATTGATGAAAAAAATTGATGAACCTCTAAAGAAAAAAAGAGGTCTCTATTTGAAGATTTAGTACAGAAATGATTTACTTTTATTGCACCTAGCTCTTAAGAAAAATCAGATCATGCATAATTGGAGTCACTCAGCAATAGGCTATGATGCTACTGACAACCTCACCGTGACTTAGAAAATACAGGCTTGCTCTCCCATAAATCTCCGTCATAGCTACAAAGTGAAGCACAGCAGCCCCATACAAGCCGATTTAATGAAACTGAAAAGTGCTGGAGTTCAGAGTGAACCATTTTCCTACTAACAGTGAAACGCTGAGAACCAGAATTGAAGCATGCAGAGGAAAACAGAAGGGAAACAGGGCTGGAAAGGGGGAGTGCGTCAGGAATCCAACAGAGGACAGGAAACAAGCTCATCCCACCTGCCAGTGTCTTGAAAGGGCAATCAGAACAAGGAAAAAGGAAAAAAAAAAAAAATTGACCCTTAAAGCTCCAACGCCTACGTGTACTCACCAAGTGGAGGAAAGCCCCGAGCAGGGCTTGTATCTCGACTGCTCTCACGGCTGGTATCGCGGCTGCACCCCTGACTCATGCTGGGTCGGGGGATGCGACTGCTCCGTGCTAGCATGCAGCATGGAGAGTTTCAGAGAAGGTGAACAAGTTTAATGAGGACAGAAAGCTCAAAGTCAAGTCACATTTCTGTTAGTTACGGCAATTATTACATTAGTAATTATCATTTGCAGCAGCCAGCCCAGGCTCTTACAAACCAACTACGTTACACGCTGAGCTGTGCTTGCTATGCGAAATTTCAGTAGCGTTAGATGTCTGGCTCCCAGTCTGCTTTTTTCTTAAGCAATCCAAATTGTTATTCAAGTAGAGCAGGAGATCTTCAATCGCTAAGGGGATCTCTACTGTTACGGAACATGCAAATCAGATGAGGTTAAAAGAAACCCTGCTGGAAGATTTTGTCCTTCTTTGCAAGACAAACACCCTTCTGAAAGGGAGAGGAAGCGCTCTTAATCAGGTCAGAATTTTTAAAAGTAGCCACAATGCCAATACGCAATTTTTACATAAATATGGCTTTTATAAGGATAGTTTTATCATGAACAAGTATCTCAAGGAAAAAAAGGTGTACTGTATAGACTTGCAGAGATTTTTTTTTCCCCAGTGAAAGATACTGGGGAAAGCACTTTGTTCCTAAATACCTGAAAAATAGGTTACAAAGTGGTCTGAATTTTGAGGCAGCAAGAGCTTCAATTCTTTAACAAAAGATACCTAACTTCTGTTCCTCAAACATTTCTAAAACCTTGTATTTATGGTTTTATAGGCACATATACTGAGACACATGCGCACTTAAGAAGAATCTTTAACTATATTCCTTACTTTGACAAGTAAGGAAAAGCCCTACATCAGCAAGAATCTTATCTCAGGTCTGGCAGCTATCGAGCGCTCAATTTCCCAGAGCCCAACAGGCTCCTGCCTACCAACTGTGTCACAGAAACTCATCACATGCACACTCTCAGTTGGGCCAAATGCACGGCATTAGATAAGAGATTAAGCTGCTTTCACAGAAAAAAAGCAATCCCACTGACTTTGGTTGAAATTTTGCCCACGTATGAAAAATAGAGTTAGGCCTTAGAAGGTTATTTAACTTCCTACTTAAAACAAAGGATTTGAATATTAAGTAAGAGTTTAGAAAATGAGCCATTTAGGTATTTAAAGCAACTGGATTGTTCCTCTGCAAATTCTGTCATTTTGACATAAAAGACATTTACAGTAAGTTATTAAAAATGCTTTGTGCATATGACATTTTCCTGCGCAACAGAGAATAGCAACTCATTGTTACAAGTTCACCTTTAAGAATTTAATGATTAAAGGGGGAGGGTTGCTTTTTTGAAAAGGCAGTAGTAAATTTTAAATAAGTGGTCAGGAATAGGCTTTAAGGATTTTTTTTTTCCAGTGCACAGAGTAAAACCTAACCATCAGCTTCGATGACAAGAGAGCAGAGGCATGGACCCGTAACATTAACCTGTTTCATCCTCAGACTTCAACAGTACCCTCATATTTATACAGTTAGTGATATTTGCATGCTCCAAAATATATTCTCATAAATCTCTATTGGCTCATACACAGAACATAAATGCCTAGACTCAAGCTAAGAAAAGAAAAACAGTTCCCTAGACCGCTAGTGTGGGCTCATTCAGAAACAGGATTGTGAATATTTCTGTAGCCTCTTTTTTTTTTTTTTTTTTTTTTTATGAGGAGGAGAATTTTAGGCGTTAGAAGAACCATGCCAGAACATAATGCCCAGTTTTGAACGGTCAGTTAAACACTGGGCATACTGGTATTCTTTGAAGCAAAACAGTACAGAACAAAATAGAAATCTTCATGTTTAGGCTTTAAAATTCAAATATAGACTACTGCCAGATTCTTGGTTTGTCAAATCGCTCCCAATTTTGCAAGACCCAGCTCATAAATCTCTTAGATGAATTAATGGTTCTGATGGCTGAACTTTGATGCTGGACAATACAAGATGAGCTACTGACCAAGTTGATTAGATCGCCACAATGTCCAAAACTTCGGAGTGAGAAAGATGGTCTTACAGTAAATAGGACAGACTAAATAATATGAAGTGGATGAAATTAGGGTCCTCATGTACAGTAATCTCAGCTCAGACTGTACAAGAAAAAAGCTCACAAGTGAACTACAGGTGAAAGTAACACTCCTCAAGTCTTCAACACAAACATACTTACCTGGAATTGAGGGATCTACAGAAGCAAACTTCTCATTCTTGGGTCTCATGCTTATATGTAAATAATGGCAGCCTTCACATCAGGTTTGCACAAGTAGTCATTTCTCTTAAGCATCAATCTTTCCCCTCATACAACTATACTACAACTAGCAAAGGCTCTTTAGAGAGGGGGAGAGACATGAATAGGTAAAAAAAAAAAAAAAAATTTAATTGATGCACACTGTACGTTCTCCTTCCATAACAGATTATAGTATTCTTTTATGAAGCATAAAAACATGCATTCCTTCAATTACATGAAAACAGACGAGGAAGACAATGCCACAGATGAAGCACAATACTGATTCCCCAAACAAAACCCAAAAGCAAACCCTGAGTAGCTCATGGATAACAGTCAAACAGAAGATGTGCATGTTACTGGATACAGATATAAAAGCAAGAAAAAGAATGGATTGGAAAGGACAGAAGGACGAGTCTGCTTGGTCTGGACTCCCAGCCACCTGCCCCGCAATTCCTCTGCTGTGTTGCATACGGAAGATCAAATATCAGAGTATTATTATCCCTGATCAGGGTATTATTCTTCAAGCACTTCCAGAAGTAAGGGCCAGCACTACTGTCATTCAGACAAGTCTCTCATACTATCACAGTCTGTCTTTGCAGCGCAGGCAACAAAGGCAGACAAGAGAGCCACAAAACTCAATTTTTAAATTACCGACCCCTACAATTTGGGCAGAAGTTAAGTAAACGAGTAGCAAAATTAATTAAAAGGAGTAGACAGACTGGAAGCGGACAGCTAGGAAGCTCTGGTAACAGAAGGAAATTAGGATCTCAGCACAAATGCCATCAGCCAGCTCAGGACTGAAAGCTATGAACAGGAACAAGGGTGGGATATTTAAAATAAATTCTCAACTTTCTAGATGTGTCCTGTACAATTAAGTCTTACCAATCTCATGTGGAAAGGTACAAGAGATGCACACCATTCACACAATTATAACACACACTATTAGGCTGCCTTACTCAAATACACCTTTGTAAACCAGTAAATGCAAATTCCACCAGCAAGGCTCAATCCATTCCCCACTTGACCACTCTGTCATTTAGAAGAAACCTGCATTTCATTAAAACCACACCTTAAGAGAAGACTAAAAATCCCAGTTCGATCCAGCAGATGCTTCCTTTACAGCAATATAAGCATTTTACATTCTGTGATTGCCACCAAAACAGTCAAACTGCAGAACCGCAGTAGGGCGCGCTCAGGAGGCGAGTCAAGAATTTCCTTCAGCTTTCCAGTAAACACACATAGCATAACCCCAACACAGAAAGCGTTACATGACGTGCATAGCCAGCTGTGCCTGCTTCACGTTTTGGAGACTGACATTATGTCCGAATCCCTCAACTTCTTTCAAATCCAACCGGCATTCAAGGATCTGGTTTCTCATCTCCCAAACTCAGAAACAGGGGCTGTTACTGAAGCTAAGTCCCCATGCTGACAGCGTGCTCCAGGAGAGGAGCAGGTGGCTCGCTCTCAGCATATACCTGCACCGCAGTACCAGTCAGGACACAAACACTCTCCTGACCCACGGAACAGAATTAACTCCAAGTTGATGAACTTTCATTGCACTGCAAATGTATATCACCTTTTTAGGGAAGTTCTCCTGCAAGGGTCCCAAAGAAATGCATGAGATCAAGTGAACTACTACTTCCTTCCCCAGTAGAGTAACACCATGGGTAATTTCCATTTACCAGAAAGCAAAGGCAAGCTTAAAAATCAAAAAGCACCACGGCCTGGGGCCATACAGGGGAACCAGGCAGAACATGTGGCAGTTGTGCTGCCTCTTGCAAAATGACACACTACTTCAGTGTTTCCAACAAGCAGAAGAAAGCTTACTCCATGGACTACCCATGACCAGCATGGCAATCTGAGCTAGCAGCAAGCTATTGATGCTCATGGGCATCTACATGCATAGGTTGCCATTGCCCTCAGCCTCAGAAGAGCCTAAAAAGTGGATGGTTCTTGCACAAAGCCCAGCTGCACAAATGTGCTCTCTTCAAGCTTATTCTTGCACACATAACACTGTTCCTGCTACAGCTCAGACACCTCTGCAAAAACTACACAACAAATTAATGGTAAGTCATGAACAGGACCTGAGAATTACCCTTTTCTAGCAGCCTGATATTCAAGGTTGTTCAACACTCGCTGCACTGCAGTGTGACCCACAGAATTAAGAGACGTTTCAGCCCAAGGGTAAAGCACAAGCATATCCTCAAATACGTAATCCCACAAACTCTAAAGAACTGCATATGCTCAAGGACCTTTTTACATCAGAGCCTGAAAGTTTATCCACAGTCTTAGGAGGGAGGTGAATGGAAGACTACTTAGTGAAATGGATGACTGAAAAAAAATTGAAAGGAAAAACAGGAACTGAAGCAACACAATACAAACAAAATACAATAGCTACTATGTTATACAGTAATAAACACAATGGGATAATGTTACAAAGATGACAGCTCAAAACTCATCTCAGTTCAAATCAATATTACCATTTTTTAAATTCAATAAAGACACAGAATTTCTGCAACCGAGTGCTAAAGCCAAAATATATGGGTCAGAGACTCTCCTGTTCCGATGAGCGCCCAGAAGACCAGGCTTTGGTCATCCACCCAGGCAGAAAAAAAAATTTAAGAGATCTGTTAAGGTTCTCTCCCACTTCCAAAGAACAAGCGCTGACTGTGTTCACAGGGAGCACATGAGAGCTACGAAATATAAATTACCCTTTCAAAGGAATTCTTCAAGGCTCCCATAATTTACCTGAAAGCTTGCAACCCAAGAGTGAGCGTTTTACACAAAGTAAATTCCCTTCCAATACTAAGGACTGTTTCAAATCAAACCATATAATGTGATGATTAGTTTAAACATATGTGACAGTACTATCCATCATTCTTTCTTTCCTTTTGAAAACAACATTCTTTTGCAGAGTGATAGCAGAATAATTATTCCTAATACTTGGGAGGCACTTTACATTTTAAAAGCAATGAACAGAAAAGCGCAGTGTATTCATACAGACGTGAAAACAGATTAGACATGAGAACAAACTTGGAAAAATAATCACAACAAACAATATGGAATTTTTTATGGATTGTAACACAGCATACGCGCTCTGGCGCTTAAAATTCATTTCAGGAAATTTGAACAATGAATAAATAAGAGAGCTCTCCACTAACAATTAACATGCTCTAAACAGAAAGACAGTCTAAATTTAAAATATAATAGCCAAATCAACAGTTAAAATTTTAATTGACATGAAGGCTAAGATTTCAAACAATTTCAATCTCCTAGTAAATTCTTTAGTGGTAGAAAATAATTCAATAACAATATTATTTAAAATGATCTTCCTCTATATAAACTTATCAAAACTTATCAAAATATTTTCATTTTATTTCAAAATGGAAAACAACATTTACTTGGTCACAGAGCACACTGGGTACCTTTGCACCACAGTTCAGATAAACAAATGTTTCTATATAATGATGCTTATTCACCTAGTTTTAAAAAGCCTACTGATAAATTTGAAAATAAAAACTATTATGGAATATTTGCATAATAGTCACTGAGATAAGAATATCAGAAACAAAATAATTAGAGCATAAGTCTAAAATGCCATCTAGGGAAATGGCTCCAAGCTATTCACGATGAGAGAAGCAAACTATTTAAGCTACAAAATTTCTGAAATAATTCAAGAAGGTGCTCTTTGCCCTTGATCCCAACTGACTTTACAAAAATTACTCAACTCCCCTTAGGACTAAGCCTCTGATACCAAATTAGGTATTTTTGCTGTGATTGGCTATTTATGACACTTACTCTTTTTGCTGCCTGACCCAACAACATAGCTCATGTCAAATTTCAAGTAGACGACTTCCCATGATATCTCCTTCAGGCCTACTTTCAGACTATAGCTCAACCTGGAAAATTATACCTTCTTTCCTACAAACTGCAATCAAAAATACAACATTTCTTGAGATAAAACATTAGCCTGCTAGCTGAAGAACTCAAAAGTGTGACAGTAACACTTAATTTCCTAGTAAATAGAAAAGACCTTCCTGTGAGCCCGCTGATCAATGTGTCACTGCAGTGGCTAGTCTTACCTAGTCCTATCCTGTTGGGACTCGTCTCTCGACTGCATCCCTGGCTCCGAGGGATCTTGCTGCGTTTTTCTGACGATGATGGAACTGGCTGGACTCTGGACGTTCCACTGCTCAGGCCGCCATAGGCGCTTCCTAACAGTTTACCCGGAGAACTAGACCGGCTGCCAGCTAAGGAAAAAAAAAAAAAAAATTAGAGAGAAAAACCCAAGGTTTTAAATACTTTGAAAGCAAATTTGGAATACAGTGGGCTACATCTCAGAATCTGATCCAAAGCCCATAGAAAACCAACTGGAGATTTCCCATGGGCTTTAGAGGAAGACTAAGGAAAGCCCATTGACGGTAAACACATCAACAATTCTGCTTATACTAATCTTGCCGCCCAGTCACGGTAAAGACAACGCAGACAGTGCAGTGTGGAAATGCCCAAGCTAGCGTTACGCGAGTTTGCCACAGTACCAAGAGTAGGCTTGCTGCAGCAGCAGAGACTTCACTGGCTACTTTGTACCGTCAAGAAGCAAAAAGCATTAGCCCGTACGGAGCTCTGTGCTCTTGCAAGTCAACTTCAGGTACAGACAGGCTGCTGCAAGCTAGCTCAGGCATCTCCACCCTATACTGCAGCGGTGACATTAATTTCCGATGACAACTCAGTGAAGGAAAGTTAATATCTCAACAGTAGCAGGGCAGCACATTAAACAGTAAACCAAAAAAACCCTGTCACGTCTGTGGAGATGCTGGTTTACTTGGTCCTGACTCATTAAATTTAACACATTTGGTTATTTTTCACTTAATAAAAACAATTTTTAGCAAGTTGAGTAGTAATCCTATTCTATTTTTCCTTGTCTTTTTGACTAGTCCATGGCAAGTTTACATTTTGTCTAAGCCATGCTGCCTGTCAAACAATCTACTGACAAAGACTTATATACATATTTACTTCCAGTTGCAATAAATATCTGTCATACGCCTGCTGCCTAACTCAACATGAGCAGAATACTTTTATTTTTTTTTTTTGGGGGGGGGGTGGGGGCGCTATGATTCTTCATTCGGTAACTTGCTTCCACTGAGAACTGAGTAACACTGGTTCACAGATAATCACAAAGGACTGAAAGCAAGGGAGCGAAGGCCCTTTTTCCTTCTCTAGGTATATAAGTCAAACAAATTCTGCTGCTGCTATCACCATTCCTGACAAACATTTACTTGCTAAAACAGTCAGGAAAAGCACACTTCAAAAAGGCTGCAAACACATACTCAGGTAGGCTCACATTCTGAACCAATATTCATGCTGCTTTCTTTCTTAAAAGTATCCACAAATCTCAAAAAAAATTCAGTTCCAGAATACTGTTACAACTAGTAAGAGCAAAAGAACCATCTTCTGACTTAATTTAAGACTGTATGCAATTTTACTAATTTGATGGACAATAGCATAACTGATATTAGTTCAAATTACTTGCCCCTTCCATTTTCTTGGACAAAGCAATCCGAATCAATGTACTCCCAATACTGCACGTGGTGGGAGGGTGAGAATACTTGTGACAGATGCCAGTCACATGCACAGCATTCACACCCTGAAAGTCAAATACTCCTCTCAGTTACGCTGCTGCAATCGTACTGATGTCAACAGGGTTGCACCAAAATAACTGGAAGAAGAATTTAGCACCTAGAGTTTAAGCTGCAGGAACTTCATTGCAACGCTTACAGTAATGAGCCAGCTCCCAAGACACAGAACGTATGTTTACCATGCTTGATTACTGTGAGAAAGCTAAATCATTTACCGTACACATTTGGATTTCTAACTTTAAGAAAATGCTTTCTAGGTCTCTGATAGTGAGTCAGGAGAGAGGGAACCTATAAGTTTAGCAGTTAAAAAAATATAAAGGAAATAATGTGAGAAAGCAAGAAAGGGAAAATGTTTCTTACCACCAGCAGGATTAGCTGATCTGGATCCTTGATTATGAGGGCAGACCAAAGGACAGGCAAAAAGTGGATTAAAAGACAGCAAGACAATACAGCGTTCAGCATGCAGTTTATGTTATGTTATACACAGTGCAGACAGATTTCTTCACAAACACGTCACTCCAAAAGCCTCTGCAGAATGCAGTGGGTTAATGCATAGATGCAACTGACAGTTTTTAGGCTGATCAGGTTCTTAGGGAAACATCAACCAAGTATGTAGACCCAAACTCCACTGTAAATTATACCCCAGCCCAGTCTGCAAAATTGAAACAGGGTTACCCACTGTAGAAACAGAGGAGAATTTGGTCTTGTGACCATATTACATTTGAATTCATAGTTTAATTTCATATAGTGTTTGGCCTAGGAAATAAAGATCACATCTGGACAGGCTAGGCTGAAATCAGGTTTCAACAAACGAGACTACGGCAGATGCAGAGGTGACCACCTAGTCTTATAAGATATAGGAAAAAAAAATAAGCCCTAAACATTTGAAACTTTTGAAAATTGAACTATTCCTTAATTGCCCTGAGAGTTTTCTCATCTGATCTAACCATTCTTCACTAAACTGAAATCGAGAAAAAAGGCTGTTTCTCATTTTGGACCAGTTTTACATTCAAAACTGTAGGGATGAATCTAGATCAGAGTACCAAAGTCCAAATCCCATCATGACCTCAATATAAAGAATTCCACCTGGTCCCATCTTGAATATAATACTTTTCTCTTCAATTGTCCCAGGCTAACGTAATGCTACAACCTGGTTCCCCATCCCTCCAACACAGAGCAAAGCAATGACACCATGAACAGATGAGGGTTTTAAAATAAGGGTTCAAAGCAAGACAAGTCCTCAGAACAAACAGTTCTCTCCGTAGCCCCCATCCTTTCTTGCCCACAAGCTTGAGGGTCCTCAGCAACGAGGATCTCCCTGTTCCCAATTCCTTTTAAAGTTTGGGTGACAAAACTCTCCTTAGATACACATGACAAACATGCAGCACTATGTATGGCTCCTGGGGAGAACGATGCCTTGCAAGGAAGCCAAAGAGCACAGATGCGCCATGTGAATCAGAGCAGAATTACCTCCCCTAAAAGGGGTAATGTTCTATTTTAAATTGATGCTAAATCCCACATTAACTTAGACAGCTCACACTTTACACATATAGAAATACAATAATACAAGCAAGAGAAGCTTGGCAGGGCAAGAACCCAAGAGACAGCAGGCAGCTACAGACACAGAGGACATCTCAGAGGGACCCAGCAGAAGCTATTTAGTCCTATACTTCACAGAGAGCTGCAATTCCACTGTGCAACAGGTGGAAAAGCAGCAACTCAGTAAAAACTAAGCAGTTAAATTTGGGGCCTCATTTGTCAGCAAAAGTATATGCTGAAAGCTCGCTGAGTAGGAATTCCTTTTGTTACCTGTCCAAATAGTACTTAGCAGAGGTGAGCTCAATTCTCAGGCAATGCTACCACAATGTAAATAAGAAAAACATAACAATTTCTCTCCCTCCCCCCCGACCCCGCAAAGTAAAACACTGCTTACGCTGGGACTGTGAAACTACTTTAGCCCGGCTGCGGCCTCGGGTGTCAGCAGGCGTTGAGGTGACGCTTGTGGCACTGCCAGAGCTCTGTCTCCTTGTACGAATCCGACCTGGAGGAAGGCAAAGAAAACCAGACTGTTAACAGGTTTCTTCCAAAGGCAAAAGTCTAAAGCACCATGTGTCCTGTACTAGGAGCGTTGTTTTACCCACAATCAACTAAGGTACAAAAGAAAAGTTTTACGGGGGAGAAGCAACATCTTCCATTAGACTGGCTGAGACGGAAGGGTAGTGAGTGGAAACACAGTGAAGGACCGTTAGTCCAAAACCCTCTTTGCTTTCTGCAATGCTATCAGCTGGTACGATAAAAAAAATTAGGTCTCACTACAGCCTTTGCTTCTGCTCTACAGTAATGTCTTCACAAAAGGATCAACAGAAGTTGTAGTCTCCTAAACGCCACTTCCTATATTATTACTTTGTGACAAGGCGATCACCCTTTCGGAGATGGGCATGACAGATGCACCCACAAATTCCATCGCTGGGATTTCCAAACAGCAGCCTGGTGCTTTATATCCCAGACGACACGTGCACAGTGGCACACACCCCAGAGTTTGTCAGCGCAGTCCGACTACATGGTTATTTCAGGTCCCTCTCGCTCTCATTCAATTTTCCTTGCTGTTTGCAGATCTGACATATTTATCCCCAGATTAGGGTAACTTTACTTGTAACGGAGCGTCCCATTTAACACAATCAACATTGTGGAAAAAAGATTCCATGTGCCTGCCCTTTATTTAAGCAGAGAATGAATGTAAAGTCTCAAAGTGCTCTTGCTCCTTTTTCTGTCCTTTCCTCATGAAAAAGCCACAGAAATTTGAGCTAGAAAACCTCTGCGAGGTCATCAGTTCATCCCCTTCCCGGGGCAGGGCTGTTTCCTACAGAATGTTCTTTCCAGTGCTAAGGTTCAATTATCTGTCTCTAGTTAATGGGAAAGAAATGATAATTAAGAGGAGCACAAAGAAAATCTCCATCAGCACTTTTCAACAACTCAGTTCTCAGCCAAATTTGAAGTTGTTTCTCAGGACTAATGCCAGTGCTGCCCTGCACTCAGAGGAAGATTTCAAGTTGCAGGCACAATAATAAAAAGGAAAAAAGGACAAAGGTAAGAGAACATTCCAGGCAACTGCATCTATTAGCTACAGAAATTTATCTCCCACCCTGTGCCTCCACCATAAACATAGAGATGGCAATGTAAACAGAGAGGTATACTTTTCTCACTCCCTAAAAAAACACTTCACATAAGGTACACATGCAGGACGAGACAACGGCAAGCAGCCCAGGTTGAATGGATTGAGCTCTATTCTTCTACTTGAGCTCCCAAGATATTCATAAGAGGGGTTGTTTATTTTTGATAGACATAAAGTGACAAAGAAATGCTTAACTTTGAGGAGAAAACCTAGACTTCCTGGTAGAAGGAGGAAAAGATAACTGTTTTTCAGACCTTCTCAAACAGCATCAAGTTTTAAAATAAGCTCAGTTGGCTTTAACAGGAAACAGGTATCTACATTCAAACAACTATCCGTAGATATGACATAGAAAAAAACATTAGCATAGCACTGGGCGAACATGTAACAAACTGCCTTTTAACCACTAGCAAAACTAAACTAGCTCGGACCACATCCATGTGGATCACATCAAGGCTGCTCACCTACGCTAAGGCATTCAGCCAGGCTGCAGATCTCCTCTGCCCTTGGACACCATCTGCCTCACAGAAAGTGGCAGCCTGATTAAACAACCCAGATCGCCAAGACCAGCCCTCAAACTCTAGGCTGGCCCGTTCCACCCCTCGCAGGTTGGGCGCACGCTTCGATGAGCGGCTCGAACCCCAAACCCCACCACGGGACGAGGCAGGCACACATGGGGAAGGAGGCAGGAGGATCTCACGCTCTTGGAAGGAAGTCTGTATTGCCACCACCTAACCACCACCTAACACCACCTGTATTGCCCTATCAGTAGGGCATCACTGGTGGCTGCTGGAGTACAAAATAGTAAGAAAACAAGTTAAACCTGACTAGCCTTAGGAAACGGCAATGGAAAGAACTCACTCTCCTTCCAAAATACAAACAGACAGCCTGAGCATTTTAGAAAGCACTGGGTGGTAACTCAGCTGAAATCCAAGGCACAGTAAAAGATAGCATCAGACACATCACTAAACGTGATTTCTATGTCTGTGCCAGGGGTTGACTGCTTGGTTTAGCTGCAAAACAACAATGACCAAATGGAACTCAAAATCGCTTTAGGCAAATCTGCATGAGATATAAAAAACCTGGAGGGGGATCTGAGATGCTTCATATGTTACTAACTTACCTCTACAACACTATCGTTTTATAACTTAGTGATTTACTTTCTCTCTGCCTTCTTTCACACACACAGGCACAATTTTTAACTTAGTCTTATGACGTCCAAGAACTACTAGCTTTACAATAATGTAAGATGAATCTGTATCTATCTGGCTTGAAAATCTCAAGGATTTTAACACACATTATATCAATCATAGCACTTCCATATAGATTTTCATCTATACAACACAAATGTCTTTTATCTTCTCTTACTGTCATCTAACCTGCAAATAAGGGTCTGCATTCACATCCAACAGTTATTTGCACATAAGATTATCCATGTGGTTTTATCTCTATCATTTTATCCCAGGAAGAATGATTTCAGGCAAAACTAACCAGAAAAACATAAAAAGCAAGTTATTCAGATTTTTTTTTTTTTTAAAAAAAACTCAAGCAAACCCTCCCCCTCAAGACTTCTTTGCTTTCAGTGGCTTTGTTTCCATATCTAGTTTAAATCACAGATGCAGCAATCCATATTTTATAACCACCATTTTTTCTGCTCCTCTTAAAAGAATCACTGCATCTTGACAACAGCAGTATAGCAAAGGAATAAGGAGTGCCCCAACTAGTTTCCAAAAATCATAAAAGCATTGCCATTATTAAAAAAAAAAAAAAAAGAGCCCTTGATCTAAACTTGACATATGACACTGCTGCTGGTAAAGAAAGTGTTTTGAAAGACTCCATATGAGGGCCTTGTGTTTAGAAATCTTTTTTCCTAATTTTTTTTTGCTTTGATTTTTTAAAGCCAGTCATTTTTATAACCATCAGTGGATTAGAACCAACTTTTCAGATGTCCTGCGTTGTCTCAACCTAGTAGATTTTTTTTTAAGGAACAAGCAACAAAAGATTCTATGACATATTTTAACATTACAAGAAGCTTCTTAGCTCCTCTGCATTGATCCATTGATCCTAAAGCACCTCCACCTCCCAGTACTCAAGGGTTTGTGAGATCCAGACTGCACATTTCACCATGAAGAAAATGGCTTTCAAATAGTCTAGAAAGGGTATGTAACAGCTCCACAACTGTTATCAGTGCCGTGCTGTGATAACGATTCCTACAGTCACACATAATTTATGCAGAAGCACTGGGATGGTAATGGTCTCTCCATGGGTCAGGTCAGTGCATTGAGGTTCCTCAGCACTGGGTTTCCCCCCCGCCTCGTTTGAAGAAAGAGGCAACAAACTTCCACAGGAGCCTCCAGAACCACCACCCCACCCAGCTGCATCACTGCTAAATGGCACATGGGCACATTTGTGAGACAGCTAAGGTATGCACACATCAAAAATAGATATTTTACATATAAAATCTGTTAAGCAACCCTGTTTACCATGAGCATGGTACAGATTCCATACACATGCCTCTGGGTTTTGCAAGAGAGTCCCCTCCAAAGCAAATGAACACTAGTGCCACCCCATTGCCCTACATAAACAAGCACATCAGCTTTGTCATCGCGTAAAGTCAAAAGTCAGTACCTGCAAAGAGATCAACCAAGAGAGCAGAGAAACCTATTACCTGAGTGTTTCAGTTTAAGCTACCACGTTCAAACTCTTGGGTCAAGCCTTGAAGCGTTTACTTAAGCTTAGTCCTATCAAGCTCAGTGAGAACAAGAAGCAGCTTTAAGGTAGAGAAGAGAACAAGAACTCTGCTTTCTTAAACCTTTTTGTTATTCCCAAAGCCTTTGTTAAGGCTCCAGATATTTGACTGAACAGTCCTCTCTCTTTGAGCCTAAGATAGCTCAGAACTAGAATAAGTTAAAGATTTTTCCCCCCCCTAATGAGCAATAAAAAAAACAAACTACTAAAAATTATGCCTCTGACCCTGGGAAAGATCTGCTAATCTTGTTTGCTTTAAAACTGACGGTTTCAGGACAGACTGGTATTTATGCTTCCCCCTCTTGGGGGAGGCTTGTTGGAAGGGCTTGTCTTTATGCTCACTTTGGGAAGAAAAAAAAGACAGACAAATAAAAGAGGCTGCAATCCTTACGAATCCCTTTTCCCTTCAGCTGATCCTTCTACCAAGGCTTCAAGATACCACAGTGGGGAAAAGCATGAACCAAATTCTCAAATGCAAAAAAAGTGAGCACAATAATCCACTACCTGCTCTCTAAAGCACATGCTTTCTTATTGAAATAAATTCACACTCTCTTAATCTTACTCTCTGTTTGCAAAATACAAGGGACCTTCAACATCTGAACATGCTGAAGTACTGCCAAAAACCATACCTAACCTATAGTGGAAATCAGGCTCCTTAGTAAATGAGGTATCAGGTATGAACGTAAGGGATAACAAAGGCATTTGCTATGGAGGCATTATCCTGCAAATCACATACTGGCAAACATCGGTGAGGTCCAATGGATGAAAAATACAATGGAATCAAAAGAATGGTAATTGTGTGAGATGGGAAGCAAAAGAACTTGGAATTAAACTGCTACTCATGATCAACAGTAAAACAAGGAAATATCTGCCACCAAACCAAAAATACATAAGACAGTCCCTTCACGGTATCCTAAAACTACAGTATTTAGAAACCAATTTCAAATTCTGAAAATAGAACCTATCTCAACAGATCGGGCGCTATCCTTTCGATACGCTAATAGACAATTCAGCTTCCAGTTTCCTGCTCTCGGAGCTGAACAGGAAGTAGAATTTGCCTATGTGGGAAGGTTACACTTGACTATTTCGAAACCAAGAGAAACAAATTATTTGTGTACTCCCCAGATTCAGTATTTCCATAAGGCATTTGAGGCTGTTTTGAGATTAATTTTGTAGTTCTGATAAACATCTGAGTGATCTTCACACCATACTAAAAGGGATTTTCTACAGGGGAAGAAAACCCTTTGCATTAGTATAGCTGGGTGCTGCAAAAGGAAAACAGTAAGTAGAAATTATAAGCTACAAGCTTCTCCAGAGACAACTCCAGCTGAAGTAACACACCTACTGACAACTACTCCTGCAGCTGAGATCCATTAGTGGCCCTTCCTGTAATGCAAGGCAAGCTCTGAACCATTCCATTCTGAGGGTCAATATAATGCACTTTTTTAAAATATTTATTGAAAAATTGGTTCCTGATAAAAGCAGAAGCATTTTTATGAGATTTCCTTTTAATCAGGTATAATGTAAAGCTTATTCAGAACACTACTGCTACTTGCATAGCACTAGCTCTAAGTCTTGATCAAGACTATAAAGGCTTAGATCTTACAAAATTTCTGCCTACAGAGCTCTTAATGAAGTTCAACAGATCTATGAGGGGCCTGCATGATCAAGACCTAACGTGCACGGCATGAAGACAGTCTCGCAGCACAGACAGCCAGACCTACAGGGATTTAAGCTGCATATAGATTTAAGCCACCTTTATAGAAAGCACATTTCATCAGTGTTTTCCAAATAAGATGACAATACCTAAAAACCAAAGACCCAAAACTCTGCTGTTAGCTTGTATTCTCGTCACTGGCATAACCCCCTTATCTTGGTCCTGTTTTGAGATCCCTGCCTCGAAAACAAAACACAGAGGGAGGACTGAGGGCAAAGCAGAGGGGAACTGCCAAGTTAGCACGATGCTGGCTCCCGTCCGAGAGCAAGGTGCCGAACTTTTACATCGCAGCTACCGAAAGCCATGATGGCAACCAGACTGCAAATTTAAACTCAACTACACAGAAAACCACAGGGATTTACTCTTAGTTAGAGGTGACCTACCAAAAAAGGGAGGATGGGGGAAGATGGAACATCTGCTTTTTATGTTTCAAGAGCATCTCATGTACATATGGGTGTTTTCAGAGAAAGGGGATTTTTCTCTATTTTCTTCCTCTATTTAACTTTTACATTTACATCAAGAGTGTAAAGTTTTGCCTTTCCTGTAGTTACTGACCAACTTTGAAAGATCAGAGAATTGGCAGACAGCCTTCCTTGGCCCATCTCTGAAGGGCACAATGAACCCTGAACAAAGCTTGGTTTTCCCTCAACTGTCTCAAAGGAAACCAGAGATGAGGAGTTTAATCAGTATGTTTGAAACTCTTCATTCTTCAAGTGATCACATTCCAAGTGTGCCACGTTATTATAATCCTCCCTGATCCCCATCTCTACCCTGGAGAATCCTCTGGCAAAAAGAGATCCAGTTTTCTAACGTGAAGGGAATGGCAAACCCCGTTTCTGAAAGCTTATCTCAAAATTCCCACATAAATATGTGTGTCCACATGTGCGCTTGTGTGTGTGTTTTTAGATTAAGTCTGATCTGCTTCCAAAGTAGCTGAATTGAAACAAACCAACCAAAAGACTTTTGTAAACAAAGCATTTAATAAATTAAAAATAAAGGTATTTCAGAGGACAGCTATTGGAGCAGACCTCCACAAACGTTACTATAGCCTAGGAGAGCATTTGAGAGAGCTGTATAGGGTACTTCATAAATTAACATGGACACGCAACTTTTCAAAGCTAGGCTGAAACTCGAAAGGTTTGAGACTGTGGAGAAGGGAAGAAGAGAAGAAAAAGAAGGGTCAGCAACGAGTAAGAAAGCTCAAGTCCGTATCAGTTTGGAATTCTCATCCAATTTGTCTTCGATTTAGAGGTATAGGTGTTTAAGTCGATTTCATATTCCTTGTCAATGGCAGATCACACAGCGTAAACACTTGCCCACGATTCATTTATCAATGCTAAGATTAAATGCAGTTCAGGAGATGGTAGAAACCTTTCCTTCTAAATAATAAATCAATGCGTCAATAATAGGAGGGAAGAAACGACACACACCACGACGACACGGTGGCACTTCTCAGAACACTACGTTCTACTACAAGCGAGGAGGATGAACACGGTCCCACAAGACAGTAACAGATCCCTTGAGAAGAGACTTGCAACAGGAAAAAACGGGCTTGTAGGGGGTTTTCTTCATTATGCATAAGGCGGCCTTGTTTTCAATCCCTGTCTACCTCAGAAAAATGATTTCCCAGTGATCTTTTTCACTTGAGAAGTGAGAAATAAAGAACAAGCTTTGACAAAGAGCCAGAGAACCGGCCTGGGAGTCCTCCCAAACTACTAGGCTCAGCGTTCCTTCCCTTGAAAAAAGGCTTTTCTTCCAACTGTCTTAGATATATGCCATCTTACTTAGACAGTTATCAATAAAAAGAGAGTGCTCAGGTTTAGAGAGGCTGACTAAATACTCCTTCCCTAGAGATCATTGTTTACTGCCCTCATTTTTCTGCCATGTGATCATCTCAAACTCTCTTGCTGCCCAGTCTCTTCCTGAAAGCATTTGGCAGTTGAGACCTGAGCTTTGGATGGAAAAACACAGCAAATCTTTACAACACTGTGAAGCAAGAAAACACAAGCCCTTTTTTTATCTGTGCACAGGTCACCTTCAGCCAAAAGCACCTTTTTAAATATGGAGACTCACATACAACACCGATAGAAGTCAGTCATAAAACCAGACTAGTGCCTATTATTAGCAGGCAAGAGCTCGGAGAGAAAGTGAAGAATACCCCATGGCATCAAAATGAGCAGAACAACCATGCAACACGTCATGCAGATCACCAGTGGACATGGATGAGAACCAGATCACACTTTGAGAACAGAGACCAGGTAGGGGTGGTACAACCTCAGTTACACAGAGAGACTGCTTACCCTCAGTTTTAGTGGTAGTACCATCTTTAGGCAAATTAAAAAAAAAAAATAAGGAAAGGATTAATAGGGAAGAATCAGTACAATCAGAGAAATTAAAGGGAAAAGTAAGCTTAATTAAGCAGCAAATAAAAGCTCAAAGCACCTGGAGAACATACTTCAGTTTTTTTTTTTTTTAATCCTACAACAACACTAAACTTGGCTAAAATCCTATTTTCTTTGTTTGCCTCAACATTTCTTTCATGGAAGTACGCAGATGACAAACTTCCTTACTAGTTCAAAGGGGAACAGAATCCTTTAGGTACAACTATATGTTTGCATTAATTACAGAAACAGAGTGCATTTGCTGCTTTTTCTCCTACAGTCTGCTTTAAGTGTGAGGCAGACACTGTATTCACAGTTCCCTGGCAAGAAGCAAAGCCAGCTTTAACAGTTCATTCCCCTCTACTCCCCTCTTCCTCATGATACAGGACTGTCTGAAAGCAATTTTGCCACTGAAGTCAGTATATAGGGCAATTAAATAATGGCTGCAACTGGAAGCTTTGAAAACACACTAATATGCAATCAGCTCCATAATCTGCATTAAGTTTTCATTGCAATGCCTCAAGTACAATCAATTTAAACCATGATAAAAACTATCATGAAACTTCTGAACCAAATACAGCCAACAAATTTAAGCCAACATAAGAGATTTTAGATGCAAGAGAAACCTATTTGCAAAAGGAATCTATAGAAAGCATCCTATATAACTCACAAAACACTTTCACATCAGACTAAAGACTAAATATGCTATACTAAGGAGAAGTACTTTTCAGCTGATTTAGTAAAGACGTGATCTATGCAGCTTAAATCAAGACTAGTGATTCTGACAACTACCAGGCATCTGATTCTTCTCGCTCTCATAAAGACAAGTCAGTGAAAACTTTGGAATTAGATCAGTATAAAAATCAGCAGAATGAGAAACTAGTTCAGGTGCTCAGCACTGTGTGAGACCAACCTAGGCTTATGAAACCGAGCTGAATCGAAGAAAACAGTGACAATCACCACCTTGCATTTCCTCCTTCAGCCAGGTGGCAACAGCAAACCTCCAGCAGAAAAAAGTCAAACACAAACTTTGTCGTCAGAAAAACTGGGGCACCTGACAATGGCATACAAGGCTTGGAGAAAACAACATAACGTGGTATGGACAGTCCTTGCTGTGTAGCGAAACGGAAAGGCCTAATTCCTCTCTTCATTTCTACATCTCTTGTCTTTTGTAAAAAGAGAAAGTGATCAAATTCAAACAGGATGTGCTATGCAAAGCATAAAATGAAGCACGGAAAACCAGTCTCAGAGAAGGAGGAAAGGAAGAGAAGGGGATGACACGTCAGGAAGAAATTTAACGATGAGTATTCTCAGCAGTGTCACAGAAGCAGAATAATAGCTTTTTCTCCAGAAAGAAAAGTGAGACAGAAAAAGACTATCAAAACAATTAAAAAAAAAAAAAAGCTTGCAAGTATTCTGTACCTTTGCAAGTTTTTTAACCTTAATCCCAAAAGGCAGAGACCATGCCCTGATGCTGGAGAGCTCGTAAGTATCTCAAAGATATGCTTCTCTAATTACAGGGTTTAATATTCAAACCAAACGACCTAGGCATACCCAGCAGTAAAGAAAACTGACTGCAAGCACAGAAGAATATGTAGATTTACCTAGGGATGCATATGAGCCTGGGGGCAAGGCTGCGGCAGAACTGAAGGGGGTAGATGCTCCAGATGTCACTTTTGACTTGGCACTAGCTGCTGCATTCACATCAACGTCACTGCGGGATCGCTGCAGAGATCCTGGTGTTGACACAGATTTCGTACTTACTGTAGATGCTGTCGATGGGGGTGGGAGAGAAAATACAGAATCAAGATTAATTTTTTGGGCTGTAATGTACTGTTTTTGTGTGCGCTCTGCACAGCTTTATGCTGGCACCAGAATACCTCAGCTATAAATGCTTTACATGGGCTTCTGCACACTGCCTGCAAAGATATTTAAAATGCTGACCTAGAGTCACCTCTAAGAATTTTATCGGATACTAGCCTACACATTGAGATCAGAAAGGCTGCCAGGCCAATAACACAGGAATTTCTAACAGGACCCAGCTGAGAAAGTTCAGCTACAACACCCATCACCACTTGGTAAGTAGCCAGCCAAAACAGACCTGCAGGTCAATTAGCCCCAGTCCTATGCTTTGCTAGGGGTTCTGCTAACACCCTTCCAACCACCTCACTTGTTGATAATTTCCCACTTAAGTTTGAGGCTCATCTATTCACCTGCAAACATTTATCTGTGTGTGCATAATCAAATAGGCTCTACCCCAACCTCACCTTGAATCCAAAGTCTCAATAGGATGTACTATACACACAAGCCAGCTAGAACCTGATCTTAGTGTTGGGAGAATCTGCTTTCTCCTCCTACATGTGACCAAGGCACTATGTGTTATATTTTGTATCAAAATCTACTATTCAGATTACTGTATGCATTTAGTAAAGACAGAACAGCTGTCTGTACTTGGCAATACGGAGGGCAACAGACACATACAGGCCTGGGTATATACAGTAAGAAAAACAAACATAGCTGCTAAGAAAACCTCCAAAAAACTTTCCTTCTTACACATTCCCATTGTGTCACCACAAGACTTAAGTCTCCTATGGTGAAGTAGGTGCAGCCAAGATGGCTAATGTTAAGCAGCTTAACAACAAGGTGGAATATAACACTGCAGGACTTGTACGCAGATGAGGTCTCCAATAAATACTGAAACCACAGAAAATGAGAGAAAAAAGTAAAGCTGATTGGACAACCAGTCCACGTAGCTGTATGTCCTGGCTTCAACAGTAGTTTATTCCAGCTGCTGCACAGCTGAACAACCTACCTTGTCTAAGAATCTCAAGGCTTTCTAGCCTTCCCTCCAGAAGTGCAAGCAATAACAGACTTATCAGCTTTCAAAAATACCATTATATCAGCAGTTAATGTACAGAATAATGTATATGACCCAGAACCAATTCAAAAATTTTACATAAGGTACCATTTTTAAAGGAGCAGTAAGCAGTGATCAAAATTGTCCTTTGCACATTCCATTGTCCGAAATTCTTGTTCTACTTCATCACATTTCCTCAGCAACACCTGACTGCATTTTTTTTTCCCTTTTCCTGTTCTCACCTCTAGATGCAGTGCTTCCAGTAGGACTTCTTTTAGCAGACAGTGGACGGCTAGAAGTTAATACAAAATATTTATTAAAACAAAACTGGTATTTCAGAGTCACCAGTAACAATGCCACTCTGTTCTTTGAGTATTCTATTGAGTTAATAGAAAATTAGTTATATACAGGAAAAGACTAACAAAGCTTGTTGTTTAAGCATAAATACAGCACCACCATAAAACTCTTTATAAAAGCATCAAGAAAAAAATGCTATGTACATTATTTGATTTTTGTTTGTTAAGACCGCTTTTTGCAGATTTTAAAATTTATATCAGGCGGTTGTAGTTTAATCATTTTTTTTCTTAAAGAATTTCAAGCCAAGCATTGCTTTAGGTACACCTGGAAGGAATGACTAACAGTGAGCACAAAAAGCCTCCTGGAAATTCTAGAGAGTCAAGGTAATGATTTTTTTTTTTTTTTTTTAAAAAGCCAGTAATGGTTTTTCCTGGCTTTCCATTTTAATATACTGTTAGCTAAAAAGGAAATAATTTTGGAGAAGCTGAAGCATTGAGGCCAAAGGATGACCAGATGAGACACAAGCATAGCCATGCAAATGGTACCCAAAGCAACATGATAGCGTCCTCCAATTCAATGGACCTATCTGCAGTTCTTTAGGTCAAAGAAGAGGTAGTGACAGCAGAGGACTTACTTGAGACTCTCCTGGGAGCTAGAAGAGGAGCGATCCGACTGCGGCAAGGACACAATGCTGTCAGAGTTCTTCAAATGGGACTGCAGGGCCTTCTGGTAGGAGGATTCCAGGGTGTGATACAAGTGTTCTGCCTCTCGGCTGAAGTGACCATGAAAACCCCAGTAACATCTGCAAGCGAGACACAGTGATACTACTGACAACTCCTTGTCATGTTGTAGGAGTCAGTGGAGCACACATACAGTCAGAGGCCTTTCTGCATGGCAACAGCTCATTAGTCCAATCATTTCAATGATCTATCGTCCCTGTGATACACCTAAGACTTCGGTTAATACTAGGGGCTGGAGAAGCAGCTCCACAGAAGATAAATTAACTGAAATAAGAGAGGAACACCTCATTTTGGAGGGGTGGGAGGAAAAGAACTATTAGAAATATTAACTGAGACTTCTTTTTAGTACAAAAATGCTAACCACAAGGAACTCAACTGTCAAAAAAAAGATGAGTCTACCAGTTCAACTCTAGATTCTTACCCATTAAAGCTCAGAATAAGTCATAAAGGTAAAAAGACAAAATATTAGGGAAACAAAGCAAAACCAGCCCTACTAGAAACCAAGCAATAAAAATACAACTGAGCTCACTGCGATCACCTCGTACGACAACTCCTGCAGAAGTACACGCTCTCATTGAAGCGAGCGGAAGGCTAGCATGCACTGCAAGGAGAATCTGTTTGTCTCAGCATTGGTCTACAACATACAGTACCATAGAACAATAGCAAAATAAGGGAAAGAAGGGGAGGAAGAGATGACAGCAACAACAGCTTCCACTTACTTTCTTGCCTCTATCCTGGCTTCAGAGTCCGCATCGTGGATTCCCTTCTTTATCGTTTCAGCTAACACTGATATGTGTCTGAAATACGAAGGAAACGTTATCCAGAAAGACGCTCTACATTTATAAACAAATGACTCCAGTCTAACGATTTTGCCTTGGTCTCCAAGAACAGAGTTCATCACATCCACCCGTTTCAACACAGGCTCATTTCGAGGCTTTATTTAGTAATTCTTAAAAGTCAATTTTATTTCACCCATGCTGCTGACTAGGAAAGGCAAGCAGTGTTCTTCCGAGGTCAGTCTTTCATTAGCTATGGAAACTGCCTAGTTGTAAACAAATACTTAACCCTTAAAATACTCTTGGGCAGTTTGGGGCTAAGGAAATTGGGTCCCAATCTCTTGGCCTTAATTTCCTTCACTGCTCACTAGTCTGAATTACCATACGATTCTCAGGTGTCCCTGCTAGATGAGGCTGCTACTCATTACTTTAGGGTACAAAAGAAAAATCCAGTAGGTTTAGGTATGCATTCAGCCAGGTCCTCCAGGTGTGCCATTTTGCCACAAAAACATCTCTCAGAGCTACCTGACATAATCCCACCTCCTGGACCATCCTGTAAGGTTCCATAACACTCTCCAGACCCAACTTCCCCATACACTACTAGGAGAGAATTAACCCACTGAATTACTGAATTGTTTTTCAGAGCTTACCTTTCTAGGGAATGAGTCTGCCATTCCTGCAACAGCAAGTCTAAAAATTCAAAACAGCGCCTAAGAGGAAACAAGAGAAGCGCTGAGCTAAGTTAACAGAAGCACACCGATTCCACCATACCTGCACAACAATCCTATTTTGTTACGGAGCTCTGCTGAACATTACTGAATTCTACAAAGACCCCTGAAAAAATACCATCTCTCTACAAATGCCATCAATAAACAGTCCGAAGTAACTGGAGTCACCTCTCTACAAATAGAGAGGTCTAAAGAGAGGGCATGACAAAAACAATCCAAAAACCCCTCTTTTCATTAAACAGAAGATCGAAGTTGTTAATACTTTGTACCTGTTAGCTGAAGCTTCACACAGAAACTTCACGTGAAGCTTAAAACCTTTTCAGATTTAACTTCCCTTCCTCATTTCAAGAAGGTAAGATACAAGCATGCTATATGACTTGTGAGGTCTGTCACAGAAGACACCAACCACAGAGACCTCCCTTTCAAACTAGAACAGAACTGATCTGCAGAGCATAGGCGACAGTCTCCGAAAAAAGTTAGCATAACTGGAGTACACTTAGATTTTAAGATCAGTAAGGATCATTAGAACATCTAGTCTAACTTCCAGAAGCAGAATATCACAGAACACTACTTCTACCGACTGGCTCAAAGAAAATGTGTCCCTATAATGGTTAGTAGGAGCAAACGGGAACATGTCTGTGAAGGAAGCCAAAAATAATATGACATGATTACAATAATATGTAATCATAAAGGTTAAAGATCATTTTTCTTTAAGGAAAAGTACCTTTTCTTTTCTGCAGTACTAAGAGGAAACTAATGACTGAAAATACATGAGCGTTACCAAAAAGCACATGTGAACCTTTTTACTGGTAAACAAGAGAAGAAATTCAAACTAAATGCTCACCTTCTAACGGCAACAGACTTGGAGGTACAATTACTGGTTATGATGGGTATTAGTCGAGGGATGTGCGTATGCTAGAACAAAAACAAACAACAAAAAAACAGGAAGAAAGCTTTACACTACAGTTCTATGGAATGAAAGGCTCTTTCCTCCAGCCACCTGAGGCCAGTATGCAAATACTTCATTTCACTCTATTCTTAGAAACAGAGCTAAAGGAATATTTTAACAAGCATGGACTTCACTTTTGCTTTCTTGTATTGTGACAGGCTCTGGCAACTCAAAATGCTGAAGTAGCTACAGAAGGATCCAAATTGTCAGTGGTCACTACTTAAGAGACGTCAGGCTATCTAGGGTTTTCCTCCGTGCATCACTAGGCAGAAGACACTTCTGTCCTTAGGAATTTTAGAATATAAGAGGGATGGGGCTGTCCTGCAAGACAGATTTAAAATTGATTCAACAAAGAAAAGCTCAGCTCTTTGAGGAGCAGAAAAATCTTATTCTGCAAGGAACCACCTTCCCCACTGTTTCTACTAACTTTTCTACTTTTTGCAGGGCTAGACAGGACTGCATGACATCTGAGGCAGCCAAGTTTAACACACATCAGGCAAGTAGATTAGGTCTTAATGTCATTTTCATTGGAGTTATGTTCAGATTTTCTCCTTCAAGTCTCAGAAATGCTGCAGTATTTGGTAGTGATAACATTTTGTTCTCTTTTGACATATACTTACTCGAATGATTAATCTAACTGCTACAACACCAGAAGTGGCCATGACTTTGGCACTATTGGGAATTAGATTAAAAATCGTTGGCATGATGGCTTCTGCCCCATGGTCAAACTTGTTTCCCAAAACCGATGACAAATGTCTGAAAAACAGAATGAAGTCATGCTAGGAAGCGTGCTGAGGATTATGAGACAATTCTACAGAACATCTGACATCCAGCACTTTGCAATTGCCTCTGACATCAAAGGACAGAGAATGACATTTCATAAATAGCTTTTTTACTTTCATTTCTAAGTTTAGCCTATGTTTTATGCTATCTGAACTCTGAGAAACAGTAAGTTCAGCTTAAAACAGAAGATGCAACTAGCACTGTTGAAGGTTTACTGACAAACCAGTGGGACAATGCTGAAAGAAAGTATTTTTCTCAACCGATTAGTTCATATCATAGTTTCTCTGAAACTCTACTTTGCCTTAACATGCATGAATTTCCAGAAGTGCTGTTAAAAACAGTGCAGTGCCCTTACTCTTGAAGCGTTTCACACAGTGGCATAGAACAAACTATCAAAAATAAAAACTAGATCAATCTGAATCAGAACAAGATATAAGCATTTCTGCCTTCATCATTCAATCTTCTCCTACTCATAGGCTAATAACTACCGCCGGACAGACAGTGCAGGCATGACAGAAGCTGTGCCACTAGTATTTCAGATGAACCAGAACTCAGATGAAAGGCAAACATTTCTAACGTGGATATTTCCCATTCTGTCTTGCAGCCTCAAAAGCATCAGGAACATCCTCCCTTCTGCCCTTGATCAACACTTCCATAGTCTAGCAACTAAGTTCACAGTTTGCATTTTAAAAGTGCATTACAACCAAAAGTAATGTAATTATTATGTGTCCAGTTATTCAGTCCTTCATTTTGATTAAAGTCTTCAGTCCCTGAAATGGCTGAAAACCCCAGGATTTACCTGGGCTGGAAGATGCCTCATCTTCCGAGTGTAATATTTTACTGCAGACTTCTGTAAAATCCTGGCCTCAACGGAGTTAGAATAAGTTCAGTTACGGATTACAGTGACAGCTGAATTTCATTGCTGTTTCCAAAGGCATGTCTAACTTGATGAGATCTTTACTATCTTGCGTGGCCCAGCCACACTACTTTATTTGGCCTTGATTCAGAGAAGAATCCTATTTAGCAAAACATTTAAATATATGTGTAGTTGCGGACTCACTGTACATTCAATGATAGCTTAGCTTAAATAGCTCTCCTGAGCCAGAGGAGAATCCCTGTTTGGGTGAGCGTACTTATTCCTATATATCAGCAGCAACAACACACAACCACTCAATCCTGTGGTCTCTGCACAAGGCTTAGGTTAAAAACCTGCTAAACTCAACTGAGACACCAATAGCGCTTGGCTTATTTCATAGCCCCTTGTGTGACCCTGCCTGCCACTGAGCAGCCTCAGTTCTGGTGCAACCGGGCGCTCAGTTCTCCAGCCCAAGTTTTTCCCTCCTTACTTGCAGAAATATACAACTCATCCCAGTCTGAAATTTGGGAATAAACTGCAAAGACTCAAACATATCTGGACTACGTATGTGCATCAACAATAAACAACTCTCCCCTGCCTCTTCTATTAAAAAGTGACATGCTGGAAATAATGCATTTGACATGTCTGCTTCTAGAGCTTTGTAGTCATCATTTTTTCCATGAATAACTCAGTTTTCACAATCCCAGAACTGCTCGAGTTTCATTCAAAAATTAATGAAGTGATTCCAGTTAAACATAGTCTAAACTGGAATCAAACATTAGCAAGGTTTTAAATGACTGTGGCAAAATCACATTCTAACTTTTGTGTAGTACTAACAGAACAAGTTGCATCCTACATGTGGCTTAACCAGGGCTTACTCCTTTTTTCTATATAACATTACAAACCTGTTTAGAAAATAAACTTACCCCAATGTGATACAAGCCTCACGCACTACCTGAGATCGCAGGTCTTTAGCGGATAATTTAAACGCTCCATCCAGAAGTCGTAAGTGTTGGAAGAAGTTGTCATATTCTGCAGCTCCAGCCAAGAGTAAGGAGCGGATCTTCTTCAGCTGTTAGCACCACAAGACAAAACAGTGACTGTTCATGAGCAATAAACAGAAGCACAGCTATGTTCATGGCTGATGCCTGGTGTCCAGGGTCACTGCACCACTACACATGTGGAGGAACACACTTCTTAAAGTCATCCAGAAAATTTTATTCCAGATCATGAGATCTGGAATAGAGGTTAAACATACTAAACAAGTATTACAGTGTTAGCAATAACTGTTATAAAAATCCAGGCGCTGTGCTCATTTAGTCAAACTATTTTTAACACAACCAGTACTTTTTTAAAGCCTGAAAAAATAATTTGAAGGGTCCTCTGTTCCTCTTAATACTCATCTATTCACAGCATCACAACATCTTGTGATAGACAAATCTTGATCCTCTCATATCTAGCTACTTTATTGAATATAGACGGCTGACTTCAAGGCCAAGCCTCATACTCAAATCTGAGTTATACTGGCTTATGTTTAGAACATCATCATTCACTTCATTAAAGTAATTATCTCTTTCCACTAGAAGTGGAATCCTGACCTCATCAAAATGGTAAGATTTCTATTACTATTAATGGGACCTCCGTTTCATCCTAGAGAGGCACTTTGGGACACCTCCACAGGCCCCAATGTGTACCAACGCATCAGTGTACAGTGCCCTGATTTAAGCTTACCGTTACTCAGTTCAGTAAACAGTAAACTGAAGTAAGCTGAATCAGCACAATTTGCCATTTACATCCGTAAATGGGATTTGACGAGCACGTCAAAGTTGCTATACCAGTGATGAAAGCCTATAGCATAGGCAAGGTCCTGGATCAATTTATATTACAGAAACACAGCTCACCTCTGTAAATGAGACTCAAGCTTGACGTGCACATAACACGCTTGATTTCCTGCTACCTTGTTCCCCACATAGATTTTACATATCCTTATCTTTTTAATAAATAAATATGACTTTCTGAATTGCTCTACATTCCCCTTTGCAGAAGTGGGAATGACTTCCCTATAAGTATAGGGACTTTCTGCCACTTCAGGAAGTTTTAAGAGGTGCTGACATTTTAATTTAGTGTCCACTAGCAAAGTTCTAGCTTTACATCTGTGTGTGCTGCACGACTTCAATTCAGAGATGCAGTTTAAGCTGCTTCTTATAATGAAACGTCTTCCGTAAGCATGGAGCAACATAACAGATTCTCACCACTTAAAATGCACTCTAGCCTTATACCGAGATTCTCCTTTCATGGTATTCAACTTAGTGTACGAAAACCTTATATTAAAATAGCTCATATCTAGGTTCACTACTTACAGCAGATACTCTCTGCTCCCAGTCATGCTTATCATCCGACAGTATCTCTCTTATTTTGTTAATGGATTCCTCAAGATCTCGGCTGGAATAGATCTGTGAATTTAAACACAAAGTAGCATCAGAACACAAAATTTACTCTGGAAAAATCAGATCGTTCCCCAACTACATTCTTATGTCCTTTGCCTCTCAATTCTTAACTATCACACGTGAACTAGTATTGTCCAAGACTATTACAAACACCTCCCACAGTCAAAAAATACTACATGACCACAGAATGCTTAAAAGATCCTGTTGTATTATCTTACTGTGGCTTCACAAATTTAAGAAGCATTCTTCTACTCTTCAAAAAATTCAAAATCCAATATATAACTGGCATCTGCAGCACATGAAAACAGTCAATAAATAAGCAAGACTCCCACTGTGCAGCACAACTAGCTATGTTTTCAGAGCTATTCACCAATTATTAGGCACCAACCCCTGAAAACTCCAAGCCATTTTCCACATAAAAGCAAGATTTTGAAAGCTTAACTCTACAGTGGTTTTTAAAAGTTGAAGGAGCTAAAAGTAGATTCACTAGAATAATACATGTAATGCATCAACAGTGTAAGGTAGGCTAAGTCACCAGTCTGCACTTCAACTCAGGTTAGCTTTCCTGTCTGAAATGCAGACGCTCATGAGTGGATACACGTGTTGTTCAGTTATCCCGAAAGGTAAATTTACCTTGCCCTTAAGGAGGGTTTGCCAGCACTGAAGTGAAGGGCAATTTACCAGTGATTAGGCCTAGATCCTATATTCATCTTGCGCTTTTTAGTATACCATGTTTTAAACTACATTTCTACTTACCTGAACTGTTGGGACATCCTCAAATGCTTTAATGAAGTCTTCCTCATCCACAGCACCTGCTCCCTCTTTGGCTGCTGAGAGAGGAATGAAAAAGCCTTTTCAATCTCCTTTTCAAGAAAAGGATCAATTAAGAAGCCACCAGCTATCAAGGCTGCAGAGTTCACTACCCACACAGCCTCAGAGTGCTGCAGACGTAATGAAGACGGAGACAGGGAAATTCAATGCCAGGCACAGAGTGCGCATCCATAGCATCCTTCAACTCCTAGGCACAGAGGGCACACTAAAAGTCATTACAGCAGTGGCTCGACAGTTAGGGGATACAGTCTGAAAGATGAAAGGGAGTATTTACTTTAATTATAAGGGAGATTTTATTTTAAAGGATTTAATCCTTTCTATAATAGATGAAGGTGCAGCTCTCCTGACAGGCGCACAAACAGACAAATTATAAGGAAGAGAAATAGTCTCTGGAATACTAATCAGATAGAGACTGTTGATACAGGGAACTTCCTCCCTCTTTATGGGAATGTTTTATAACCACATTTAGAATAGTTGCTTATGTTTAGAATTAGTGCTCAGTTTTCTTTTTAGATTTTCACTACAGCAAAGCTGAGAGGTCTTAAAAGAAAATCACCTCGTTCGTTTTGGATTGCATGAGCCGAAGTTTAACGTGCAGCTGTAAGCAACTGGCTTCAGCTGCAGAGGCGCAGCTACAACACGACAAGATCTTGCACGCTGCAACATTGCCATGATTTACTCAAAGCCTCAGCGCCAACTATACTGTTCCAGCCTTTCACAAACGCAAAACGCACTGTGGCCATGCAGGGACTGTTTTCGGATTCACTCTACCAAAGCACATTCGTGGCATTCAGGCAACAAACATGCAACGATCTCACAGGGGAAAATTTGTTACTGGATCCTGGGGACCAGTCTGAAGATTACACAGCTTTAAAAGCCTTGAAATAAGCTCAAACTTTAACACTCTAAATACTTTGCATAAAGATGATTTCATATCTGCTGTTGCCTTACTTGAAGACTTCGAGCCCAGAGCTGCAGACCCAAGTCTGCGGGCAGTCCCCATCCCAACTCTGCGTGAATTTGCGGGGGCCTTTGAGGATGTAGAGGAGCTAGCTGAGGAAGGTCTGTTCCCGTCCACGGAGTCTTCATCATCAAAATTTTTATCTGCCAAAGAATCATATTCAACTGTAAGTCTGACGAAGCAAAGATTTCCCAAGCAACACGCCCACCTGACAGCAAGCACGTTGTGTATTGTGGGGATGCACGGCACAGCTCTGCTCTGCCAGCTCTCACTTCAGCAGCTTCTTCATCCTAAAAACCCAGTTATTCAGGAAAGACTGTGTCAGGCCACTGAGCCCAATCCTTTGCTACCACAGCCACTGCATTATAAACCCTTTCATGAATACCTCCAGATAAAAAGAATAAACTATAACTCTACAGCAGAGAGATACAAACCACAGAGAATGTTTTGGGTGTATAAAGTCTCAATCTCTTATGTTTACTCCTCTTTGAGGCCTATTTTGCCATTGGCTGTAGTGAAACCAAGAGCACAAGCAAATTGTGAACTCATCTGAAGGTTGGATCCAAGAGCAGAGGAAGAGGCTGCCCTTGCACACCCTGCCTGCACAACACTGACAAGAGACTGACACGCGAAAAGATCACACAGCAACACCCCTGCTGCTGATAAATAGGCATTTCCCTTTGGCACCATTAAGCAGAGAGCCATCCAGAGCCACAAATCCACTTTAAGTCATCTCCAGGGTTTGTCTACAAGGAAAAAGTAAGTTACCTCAAATCCATAAAAAGAAAGTATTAAGTGATTTAAAACATATTAAACCCTTTGTGTACATCCAAAGGGAACCGTAACCTCTGCTTCCAAATATGAACATAAATTAACCTAAAATGAATTACACTCACTGTGATTCTCAGTGAAGGTCACTTCAATTCCACAAGAGTGCTTATATTGCAGTTTTACACAGCTTAGCTAACCCACTTTAAAAAACGGCCTTAGGTTGAAGGGTGACAAATATTTGGACAGCTGATATAGATTGTGTACCTAATTTATTAAGGCTATGAAAACTACCTCAGTTCCCATCAAATAGCTTCTCAGCACTAACACTTCATTCAAGATTTAAGACCTGCTCCATGCCCATCTCTATCCAGGCCATCCAAGGAATCCACCTACCCTCCCCCACTATTTCAGGAATATTTTATTTACAAAATTTCACTCAGCCAACAATTCAGGCAGACGCTTTAAACCATCTTTATTCAGGAAAGCACCTGGGAATGTCTGAGCACAAACACAGGCTCCTAGATGAACACTAATAAGTGAAATTCAATACACGGAGCTCTCTGAAAGCAAGAAAGTTAATACTACTAAAAACACATTCCTGTGGAAAGGAAAAAAAAAAGAGGGGAAGGTGGAAGAAGTCCATATAGTCTTAGCCTCAACAGCCTTAAGGATTTTTTTCTCCCCAAAATGGTATTAGCTCATTAATAGCCGGACACAGAAGAACTGCCACAGATCAAAAAACACATTTCCAATATACACATGATAATATACTCCAAAGTACAACCCTGAAATAACAGGCGGACAACAGAGAGGAGAGGAGGCCAACAATTTCAGAGAGGAGGCCAAGGACATCTCTACACCATTAATTTTGATATTCCAAAAGGCTTGGCCTACGGAAAGGACTAGAAAAAGTATTGCCCCCTTTTCTCAAGGGGAAAAAAAAGGGGGCAATAACAGGTATCTTGGACTGTTGTTCAAAATACCAAGATAAGTGAACATGAGAACTTTAACATGAGAAAAATTTTAAGGTCACACGCTAAAGGACAATATAAGCCACATTCAGGATGTGGGATCTATCCTTAACACAGAGCCTTAAGGCACCCATGGAGATTGCACTACTATCCTGTTTAACACTGGTAATGTTCTGACATACATAATTCAAAGATAAGATGAATAATTTGAAAAAGAGCTCAGAGAAGAACCATGAGAATGATTAAAGGATTAGAAAATATGATTTTAATTAAATTAAATGGAAGTTCACTGCAGGGGAATCTATTTAGCCTGACAAGAGGCTTAACAAGTTGCTTGATTATATTCTGTGTTAACATAGCAACTAGAGATTTATTAGGGTAGTTTTTCGGTGTGATTTATTAATATTGTTTTTCCAGCTAAGAGAAAATATACAGCAAGGCAACTCCCTTGGAGTTAAAAACAGAAATCAAACTCAGTGAATTGCCTTTTCTTTAGAAAAAAAAAAAAAGAATCTTTTGTGCAATTAATCACAGGAACCACTAAGAGATGTGTCACCCAGTGAATTCTACCACAGTGAGTTCTTAGAAATCAAAATTGATTGAAATTGAATTATTTTGTTTTTCCAAACTGATAACACTCTAGTTCAAGCAAGAATTCAAAAACGTTCTTTGGTACAAGTTGCACAGGTAGATTACAATGGGCTTCAAAACTTGTAATTCCTGAAACCTCTAGCAAGCCCACAGACTTGTGCAGACCTGCAATAGAAAAACTTTGGGAAAAATTTACTCCAATTACATTTATTTCAAAAGCCTGTATATAGGTATTAAGCAAATATATACTTATACCACATATACTATCAGCCAAGAGAAAGTCCTAGTCATAATCAGGACAGGAAACACCTTATCACTTCAAAAACACTTTCATCTGGTAATAGAATTCTACATCAGCTCCATTACAGGCTGGATGGTGTCTTATTCAACTCGAATCCTCTTCTATCTGCATTTTTAAAAATTCTTCCCGCCAACTGCAGAAAAGGGTGTGGTTTGCAGATTTCACATAGAAATCAGAAAAATAGATAAAGGATTTCACTTCTATAGCATTTTAGTAACTAATTCAACTATCATTTCAGTGTAAAACAGGCTTTCCTGAGTATCAGCTAACAAAAACCCCCCCAAAACTCCAAAACCCAACTAACCCACCTACCCACAGTTTAGGGTATATTTAAGTTACAATCATGTCTTCCTATTCAATAAAAGTCTACAAAATAAGCATTACGAAAGTATGTATCTAAGCAGAATATCCTTCAAACAGCAAAAATCATCATCTTATCTGCAAACTGCAAAACGCCACAGCCACCTTTAGAACTGCACACAAGTCTTCCAGCAGCACGTGTGATAGACAGAAAGAAACAAAGAACAGAAAGAAACCTGAACATGGAGTTCAGAAAACGAGAGGAAAAACAAGCCACTATACGTTATCATTAAAACGAATTATCATTCATTGACTCCTGATCACAATAATTATTTGAACTAGGATCGTATTTTTTGCAGTTCATCTGCAAATCCTGAGGTGCCAAAAATCAACATGGGTACAAGTCTATCCACTCCAGCAGTG